CTTGTCTATCTATATGAAATGATTCCCGATTATGTTTAGCTTTTCTAAAATTACCTAGCGTAGACCACTCCGTTGGGGAGCTAACACTATTGATTTTAGATTGAGTGTATAACGCTATTAAAGCTCTAATGAAAAATAAAATATTAAATATCTTGTCATTATAATCTAGACTCTTTAAATCATGCGTAGGGCCTTTTTTTAAAAGATCTAATTATAATGAATATTTAATATTTTTATTTTTATGAGACAACCATTCTTGTAATGATAAGACTCTTCAAATCATGCGTGGGGCCTTATTTTTGAAGATCTAATTACAATGGTTTTAATAACGAAGGTCATGGGGTAATGTATAAAAATTCCCGCTTCCACTCAATTTTTAATCATTCATAATTAGGGTTTTCAATTTAATCATTTATATGATATAATGCATGCAAAACGTCTTGATTTTAATCCAATTAAATTTAGAAAATATTTGGTCTTTAAATGATTCACCAATATTTAATTTGAAGCACACTTTAAAAATAATTTACAAAAAATGATTTTTCGTTTCCCAATAAGTGCCCTCAAATTAATTAATAATCAAATCCAATTAATTTTCATAATTTAATTAATATAAATTAAGTCATTTAATTAAATATCATGGATCCAATGCATGAATAACAATTAATAAATAATTATCTATTTCATGCATCACATACATCAATAAATGACAGATAAAGCAAATAAAAATGGCCAATGGAATCAGCTTTTAACATTTAATTGTTCTATGTATTGCATGAGTGTCTTTCATCGCCTTGGAAAGACCCGCAGGAGGTTAGTACGCGTCTGGAGAAGCAAAACATTGCTTGGAACGCGCCTGGAGGGCCCCATACGCGCCTGCACGCACCTGGGGCATGAGACAGTCCAAGACACGCTCCCCACGCGCTGGCACGCGCCTGGGGCGCGTGGGACGCGCTCCCAAGCGCGTAGGACGCGCAGGACGCGCCTCCATGCGCTGGCACGCGCGTGGAGTTCGATGCTTAGGCTGGCGCGTGTTCCTCACGCGCCAGCAAGGTGTTAATACCCGACGCGTGCTCCTTACGCGCCGAATTCCTTCTTGGGTGCGCCACATGCTTTGGCGCGTGTGGATCACGCGCTTCTTGATTGGCTGACCTCCATGCGCTCCATGGGCTGCGCTACACCGGATCTTCTCTCAGTGCTGATCCAATGATTGTAGATCCTGTTGCACAGAATGTTGGTGCAACTTGGTGCACTGGATCATCCACCCTTGCTCCGGCTTTCCCCTCGCCGGTGGTGACACTGTGGTCGCCGGAAAACCGCCGAAAAATCTAGAATAATTAATAAAAAAATTCTAGAAATTATAATTTGCCCTAAAAAATTTCAGAAAAATTCTAAAAAATTTCAAAAAATTCCTAAAGCCAAATTAAACCCTCTTGGACCTTCTTGAAGCTTCATAGCATCCTTTGATGAATATTACATGGCTTTAAAATAAATTTACAATTTGAAATACAATGGAAAAAATTAAATTACATCATTGAACTTTCAAACGGCTAAATCAAAGCCTTAATTACATTCATCCAAAGATAAAATTACATTCAATAAACCTATAAACTTCATTCATGGCCCAAACACACATCATCATCCATTCACAATTATACGTACATCATTATATATCAATATATTAATTCATACATCAATAAATAAATATATGCATATCAAAATTGGATCCATGAATGATGAATTTTGATAAAAACATGATCTCTAGTCATGAATCAAACCATGCTCTGATACCAATGTTAGAAAACGTGCAAGTTTTAAAAACTTTTCGAAAGATTTTGATTCATAGATCTTGATTCATCACATAGAGACAAGATTTATGCAAAAATAAAACATGATGTATCATTCAATTAACAGATTGAATACTTACATTAAAGATCTGAGTAAACCTTTAAATCTTTCCTCTAAAGTGAATGTTCTCACTTATTGTAGATCCCTTAGCAAGATGCCTTCTCCTTGGATCTCCATCTTCTTGGTAATTGTTTTGCCTTAAAGAATCACTCATAAGCCTCCATGAATGATTTTGGAAAACTAGGTTTGTGGGAGCTTCCATTAGATGAGAACATAAACCCTAATTTTCTAGAGAGAGAAAATATATTCATTTTTTCCTTCTACTAAAAATCACACCAAAAATATACATAGACCGTGTATATTTATAGGCAACATAAAGATAAAGAAAAGGAAACAACAAATCCTTCTCAATCTCTAATTCACATGTCTCAAATCTAATATGATTCCAATATCAAGTTGGGCTATGAGTGAGAATCCATTGGACCTATTATTTTATTGGCTACAATGAATTAATAATTGGCCCGGTCCATGGACCCAATTCAATTAATTCATAAATTAATTTATACTCTACTAAAAGAAATTAATTGAACTCCAATTAAATAATAAATAACCTCTAAGTCAATATTGCACTTTGACCCCTCTATGTATAATTAGTTATCGGATAAATAAAGACATCAATCCGACTACTTAATTAATATATTTATTTTGGTACCTTTGATTATTTCTGGCTCGATCACAATAAAACATTTGTTTGACAAAAATAATAATTTAAATAAATAAATATATAATAAATCATTTTGTCTAAAAACACACGAAGGCCTTCGAATTTACTTTGTGATCAACCATAATCAATACAAAATAAATGCAAGTAGCAATGATGCAAATATTGAAAATATAACCCTCTAACTATTAATTACATAACTACCCAAAGTGTCGGTCTAAGGATCCCGTAGAATCCGCCGAACAAATCAAAGTAATTATTAATTAATAAAAGAGTCTATACTTTTTTCATGCTTAAGAGTCAAATGTCATGATGATGATAGGGAGTAATTGCATACGACGGCTCTCGCAATATATCTCAACCTAACGTGGATCCAGTTTAAGTCTTAATTAATTATGATTCCATCCATAATTACCGACTATGAACAATTTATGATTACTATTTATATTCATGTATTGATCGCTATCACATACATATATAAATATCTCTTGTAATCAAGAGGATACTATTAATTCTATAATGAATCGAAACATAATACATTGAATTAACCAATTGTACAAAATATAAATATTTCAGAAACGTTAGGAACTTATGTCACTTTAATCCAAACAGGAATTTGCTATGTCAGGGCATATAAATCCCAACACATGTATGGTAAAAAAAATTCCTATACTATCAATTTGGTGTAAATAGATCCTTGTGTGGTATAAAATGATGATAATACCCCCACTTTAGTTGAATAAATTAATAACTATAAATACATGCATGTAAAATGACCAATTTTTTCACTTATCAAAAAAAGAAAAAAAAAAAAAAAAAAGTCATTGTAGTTGAATCGATGATGTTGGAATTCATCGCGTCAAAGAAATTCAACGTGGTGGAGTCGGCTAGGGTTTCGGGGATGGTCCATGGAGGAAGATTAGGGTTCATATTAATGCTCAATGTTTGTAGTACAGGAAAACTTGTTCGAGGGATGCGAGGTTGGAAAGAGAGGGTAAAGGGCCTGAGAAACTGGTTTCGTTGGAGAGATAAGGTTTTGATGTGAGACAGCTGGTTGAGATTGGAGGATAATTCACTGGAGAGATATTTGGAGGAGAGGTTGATGTTGGAGACTCGGCCGGAGGAGTTGCAAGAGATTCCTGTCCACTTGCAGTGGTTGGAGCCGGACCAGCTGAACGACGTTGGGGAGATGGATTTGTCAAGCTTGGGCATGACAAATACAGAGCACACCTTTTTTTTTTTTTTTTTTTTTTGTCTCTCTCTCTCTCTTCACTATATTTTCATTCATATCAACCTAAGATATAATCTATATAAAAGCTTCCATTTCGTGTTGAAAACGCGTAAAAGCTATCAAGTTGAATTCCACCGAGCGGTTGCTTCTCTCAGATCTCGTTTGAGGAGATAACGACCTTATCTCATTCCATCTATTGGCCCCCAAGAGAGAGGGTTAATTGAATCAGATTCTTGCCCTAATCTTAGAGCCATCATTGAGACATTACAGAGATGAGAGAGAAAGAGAGCCAGCAACGCAGAAATTAAACGTGATCAAAACCATATTTTGATTGCAGAATAAGGTCCACAAGACCAGGACGAACACGACGCTACAAATAAAAGCCACAGACGACGTTACACGCGCCACTTGAAATTCTGCGCGTAGATCTCATGCGTCCCATGCATCTTCTTCGGCGAAAATCCGATTCTGGCGAATTTTTCGGCAAGAATCCGGTCACATCTCTGGCCAGCCGAGCTATTCAGCCAGTACCAACCGAGCCAAGCCATATAAGGGGTTACATGCACATGTGGGTGAGGGGCAAAATGGGAATCAAAAGGGTAAAATAGGGTTTTCATATTTAATTTTTGTCAAAAAGTGATCAGATGGGCTTATTTGTAACTTTTTTTAATTTTATGAATTAACATGTACATTTAAAAAAAAATAGAAACTAATTTTACATAAATTCTATATATCAAATTTTTATTTTGCACTTACCCTAAATAAGAAATAGAAACATCACCAAAGGATACATCATTGACACTCAAACATCAAATCTTTCAAATCTCTTATTTGAGAAATGGACTACAACCATTTGAGTTATTTTGTTATTATAATGTATTTGGTAAGAATATTGTTCGGAAGGAAATTGTACAAAAAGATTTATAGTTGAAAAAAATTAGTGTCTTAAAGTTGATTTTTGAGATATAAATATCACGAAATGTGTGCCATGAGATATATATTTTTAATTTTCATTAATTAATAATTCATTATAGAAGGAAAATAAGGGAACGAAAAAATAACGTGCGGTGGCGACGTGGCATTATGTTTTTTTAGTACTTCTGGTTGTAAATGGTGATTGTAATTGTATTGCGATTAAAAAAATACTACTCCGTAAATAAAAAGAAATTATAAAAATTACAGTGTGGGGGATGGGGAGATAAAAAGGAGAGGAAGAAAAGAGACACAGAGAGCATGGGCTTCCGAAGAACCGCAAAGAAAACACAACCACCACCATTTCCCAAGAGACGCAAAAGAAGAAAATTGTATTAAAATTCTCTTTTTCTTTAATTGTTTTATTGTTGAAGATTATTCATTCTTAAAACTTTAATCGATCAGTATAACTATATATACGATCTAGAGATTGATAGATTATATGGAAGATCACCTTCGGATATGATTCATCTATCCAATTTCTCTCTCAGAACCATCGTTGGTGCGTCTCATTTCTTCCCTAATTTCAACGATCCAAGCATCATTTTTGTATTCGGGCTTCACTTATTTGTGTATTTTTTCGTTATTTTCATTTGGGGATGATATATATTTATAATACTTGTGTTTTGTAAGTGGATGATGGATGAATCAACAAAAGTTTAGAGTGGTGAATGTGTGCCGTACAAGTAACTCCTTTACTTTTTTCTTTTCTTTTTTTATTTAATTTTTTAATTTTACATTTTGAGTGTTATATGTGTTTCGGCCATTCATGGAAAAAGGAATTGCTTTGGATTGCTGCTGAAACTATTCCTCTACATTTTCAAAATTGTTGGTGGGACATTGATTGTACAGATCGGTGGTTGATTCGAGTTTGTTTTTTGTTTGATGAATGCTAATCTTGCTCTTTGTTTTTAATTTTTCTCTCCAAAAACCCATCACATTACTGCTTTCCATGGACGACCTAAGATGAGGAACATATCTGTCTTGTCTTGAACGATGAATGTGGATTTGTCATTCAATTTCTTGCTCTTTTCAGACTATATTCTCTTATTTTTTAGCTTACTTCAAATTATGAGGACCCACTATTCTCTTTGTTTTAATTTGTGTATCAATGAATTCTATATATTTGTGGCTCTCTGGTTTTACTAAGTGGGAACTGATGAGTCTAGAATGATCAGTCCTGCGTTCCATCAATTTGAACAAAAAATGTGAATACAGTATACATTTTCAAACATTCTGTTTGATTCTTAAAAACTCACAAAAAGCTTATTATTGTTTCAATTTTATTTCAGGCATTTGCATTGATTCTGCTGAAAACCATGAATTGTATTTGCATCATTGCTCGCTGGTGTGGAGATCAGAAGATTTGTCCTGTCAATTATTTTTGGCTTTCTAGTATGTGCCCGAATTTATCAAAGCATTCTTGGAAGGAAATCGTGGTAGCTGAAGTGACGAGGCCATTCTTAGATATATAGAACTGGCTTCTCCTTGAATCTGGAAATTGCTTTTTGATGAAATTTTAGCTGAAATTAGGCAGCATTTCGGTTTCTTCCCCCGTTTTTGTGGTATTTATAGGATTAAACAAGTTTGGTTTCATGTGTATATAACATGGATGTTAGTAGCACCTCTTTTATTTGGATATTTTGATTAGAGATATGCGAATGTGCAATATTAGGAAAGGGCATGGTCAACAGGAACTCGTTTTGGTCCTTTAGAAAACCAGATCCTCTGCAAATTTAGTGATGGGTTTGCCACAAGTTTCATCCAGTGGAACTGCTGAGGAGGTTGCAGGATCTTTGATTACATTTGTGCACAGTCCGCCTCGATTTTCTGGTGTGAGCACATGTGATTTGGACGGAATTCATGTGGAAAGTACGAGTCAAAAGTTTGGGGGTTCCTTATGCTCTTCTTTAGGAGTTTTTCAAAGGAAAACCTCCTTGGAGCTTGCAAGTATTCCAGACAATTCATACAAGGAGGCCGCTGATGCTACAGCCAATGTTCATGAGAAAATTGGTTGTAAGGGTAAAGGTGATATGTTAACTCCCAAAAGTGCCAAGCACATTGAGAGACCTGTTTCCAGGATTGTGGGTTTTGAATCTATTAGGAGAGGTTCTTTCTTTGATGGGCATGATGGAGTTTCAGCTGATCAGCTTTGTTCTTCATCTGTAGTTGGTATCACTGTTAATGAAACAGAATCCAGTGGGTCACTAGTCAGGAAACGGTTGTTGTCACCATTGAATGGTATACTTTCCCTGAACCAATTTAGTGGTGATCCTCTAGATATCAGCTGCAGCAATTTTCGGATTGCTTCTCCTGCTTCAACTGATAGTTATAGTGTTTCAATGGCACAGGAGTATAAGAAAGCAAATATTGGAAGCAATCATTTCACCACACCAGTCTGTTCTGTGGCTAATTGCTCAGAACAGAAGGATGTGTTATGTGATTACAGTAGAATGGCCAGCATTTTTTTTACTGACGGCCCTTTGCTAGAGGACAAGGAATTACTGTCTCATGCTTGTTTATCGTCACCTGGACTTGATCCTTTGAAAGAATCAAGTAAAGTAAGATCCCAAACCAGGGCGATATCCATATCAGCAGAAACTATGATCTCGTCTCCTCTTTCTTTATCACCTCTTGGTCCAAGATTTTCTGAAAGAATGAAAACTGTGGGAGTATGCAGGAACTCAAAGATAGAAGGTGATTATTTAACCTTAAAAAATGTGGAACATCCACTTGATGAAAACTTCTCGGACAATATCTTTGCATCTGAAGAAGAGGACTTTATTATGACAAGAAAATCATTGGAAGATATTGATTTTTTACACAAAGAGTTTCATTTGTCTTTCCCAGAAAGTAACACTGGAAGAGGTTGGCCTTGGTCTCAAGATTTGGTACCCCCACCCCATTGCATGAAGCTGGGTAGAAGGTTAAGGGGTTTTCCGGTTATGAAGTCATTGGTTGGTTCATTTGAGGAATCCCTATTGTCTGGTCGGTTGTCATCTGGAAAATCCGGTCAGGTTAATATTTATGTTATGTAACATAGGTAGCTTTTGTTGTATATTGTTCTTGTCTTTTTTTTTTTTTTTTTTAAACTTTTTGAAATATTGAGAAATTACTCTTTAGTTTGTTTTGAGGTTGTGTCTGATGGCCGTATTTGATTTTTAATTGTGCAGAAAATTGATGGTTTTCTAGCTGTACTAAGTGTTACTGGAGGGAACTTCTCACCAAAATCGCAGAAACTTCCTTTTGCCGTAACCAGTGTTGACGGAGGTAGTTACTTACTGTACTATGCATCCATAGACCTTGCAGGAAAGTTGTCATCAAACAAGTGGAGAGGCCAGGATTTGGAAAGAAGCCTTAGCAATGATGATTCACGAAGTTCCAGGAGCCGTCTGCGCATTCCTGTGAAAGGACGTATACAACTGGTATTGCATTTTTGCATTTTTAAGTTAATTTTCTTTTCCCATTTGGGCCCTTCTGCATGCAGTCCTTAGTGTATAAAATACGTCTGAGTTTTAATATAAAATACGTCTGAGTTTTAATATAATTGTATAGCATGATATGGTTACCATACCTCTAATATGACACCGGTATGGTATGTTGCTATTCGCATTATATGCAGTTGCTGTTTGGGCTTCTGTTACAAGGAAGTTGGTATTGTGGTGGTCCTTTGTTTGGCATCACTTTCTACTTGTTTATCCAGGTCCTTAAAACTTCGATGAGCACAAGTTGGTAAGATTGTCCAGGTCTCCTCCTTTTGCATCCTATTTTGACTACTCTAATTTTTGTACTGTTCCACTACCATTATGACTTCAACTACCATTAGTTTTTTAGTTCAAAAGTTACTGTACTCTTCTTATATTATCGTGATTAGATTACAGTATTGCACATACAACTAATTTAATTTCTAACAATTCTTGAGATTGTTTTTGAAAGAATCCCAACAAATATTTGGCCACTATTATGTGTTATAGAAACTCTATTATGGAATAAAATTTTCATCTACTATTGGTTGGTTTGACTTTCTAGTGGATTTTTGTGCTAGAATGTGTTTCCTCGATTTCTTTTCCCATTGATATTTATTTTTGTTCTGACCTTGTCTATATGGAACAAATCAGTAATCTGTCAATGTTAGAGTGTATTGTCCCCCCCCCCTCTCTACTGTGTGAAATATATATATATGTGTGTGTGTGTGTGTGTGTGGGTGGTTGATAGTCTGTCTAGGGTTTTGATTGAAGACTCTAAGCATCTAGAGAGACTCCCTTTTTAGAGAGAGAAAATCTTCGTTTCTCATTCCTAGGGTTTCCTATAGATCAATCCAGATATGTAATTGAGTGTTCCAAGAACAAGGTAATCAATGGACTGTCTTCAAAGAGCACATTAAGTGTTCAAGATTTGAACAAAAGGATGAACATTCATGGAGAGGCGGATTAGGGTTTGGAGACTCCAGTGGAGAGTTTGACTGCGGTTTGTGTCAAGAGCTAATTAGGGATTCTAGGGTGAGAGAACTATTAACCATTTGTAAAGTTTTTTCTCATAGTGGATTGTTCATGATTGGACGAGATCCCTTGGTTTTCTTCTGTTTCTAGGATTTTTATCACATAAAAAATATTGTCTCAGCTTTATTTTATTTATTGTTTTACTTGTTTATGTGATTGCAATTGTGACACGTAATCAACTAATTAATTGAATTTTATATAAGAATTGACGGTAATTCAAAAAGCTAGTTGTAAATTAATATCCATAAAACCTATTCACTTTAAGTCTAATATACTGCTTGCATTCAGATCCTTGAGCAATCCCTTAATGTAACTGTTTTGACACGGTTTTTCCCCCCCTGAAAGTTCAAGCAAGCGCGCACACCCCCACAATATTGCCCCTAATAGGGCTTGAACTCTCAACCTCCTCTTTGGGGAGGAGAGACTAGGAGAGATCATACCATCTGGGCTAGTGCCCATTGGTAGTTCCTACAGAGTTGATGTTAGAAAAAATTTCTTTTAATCTAAAAATTTCCTTATCTTCTGTATCTACTGTTTCAGGCATATATTTTTGTTTTCAAGTGTTGGGCATGTTTATCTGTGTACAGGTGTCTTTGCATGCAAAAAACCAGAGAGACCCGAAATGGGATAAAAAAAATAATCTGTTATAAGTTCCTCGACAAAAGAGGCAAAACATTTATATACTTCTGCATGTTTTTCCCAGTAAACTGTAGTAGACATTTATGAGTGTCAGACATTGTTGTCATGTTGATAGGTGTCATATATAATGACTGTCAGTCAGGGGAAACACCGTAAGGTTGTATAGTTTTACTTCATATTGTATGACATAACTTATTGAAGATATCAGATATGTTGAAAGAAATGGCTTACACTTGGTATCTGTTGAAGGATTTATATATTTAAGTTACACCCTCTCTAACAGCTTAAGCTTTTGGAGTAGATGGTTGTTAACAATCTCAAACTGGATTTATTTTTGCAGATTGTTAACAGTATCAAACTGGATTTATTTTTGCAGGTTCTGAGCAACCCGGAGAGGACACCACTTCACACATTCTTTTGTAACTATGACTTAAGTGACATGCCTGCTGGTACCAAGGTAAGGTGGAACTAAATCGCATTGTCTTTGATAATTATATTGATTTCAGATATTAGATTAATTCCATTCACTTTTGTCAATGTTTTTGGAAAGTTTTGCTGTTAGTGGATAGAAGATACAAGTTTGGGAAATATGACAAACCTCCCTGAGTTTTCTTATCATGTCATTAACCTTTTGTGTCCACTGTGTTAGAGAGATGAATTCATCAGTACAATTAAAAGGCCTGTCTACTTTTTAAGTATAGTAATCATGGGTAAGTTTATGAGAGCAACATTGTGATCTTTCACTATTAGCCTAATGGGAGAGAGAAGTGATTGTTCAGAATTTCAGAGACCTCAGAGGTTGCATGGTTCTTGTTGTAAAGCATAAATCGGAAGTGAAGAAATAAATAAAACAAGTAGAACACACATATATTATGTGGTTCAACCACTAGGGCCTACATCCACGACACAAAGGCCTAATGGGCTACATCACTTTTATAATACTCTCTCAATTCATATACAATACAATGGTGGAGGCTCCTTTATATAGGAGAAGAAATTATGACAATGGAAAGAATTAGAGAATAGGAAACAAGAAGGATTTTTCTCTACTGTTTCCTCTAGTAACACCAAATCTTCAATAATAAGAAACAACATCAATTACTAAAAGATTTTCCTCTACTGATTCCTCCATTAAATCTTCAATACTCCCCCTCAAGTTGGAGCATCAATGCCCAACTTGCCATTGAGATGACGAGTACAACAAGTGTGAATGATGAAGAGAGAAGAGGGAAGACGAAGAACAATGCTACCGAACACACTGATAGCCCAAACAAGTCAACAAAAAACTGCCAAAGACACGGCAAAGGCAAGGACAATGCTACTGAACACACCGGCAGCCCAAACAAGTTGATAAAAACTGCTGAAGATACGGCAAAGACGAAGACAATGCTACCGAACACACCGGTAGCCTAAACAAGTCAACAAAAAACTGTCGGAGATATAGCAAAGGCGAAGACAATGCTTCCGAACACACCGGCAGCCCAAACAAATCGATAAAAACTGTCGGAGACATGGCAAAGGCGAAGATAATGCTACTGAACACACCGGCAACCCAAATAAGTCAATAAAATTGTCGGAGACACGACAAAGGCGAAGAACATTAGTGCCGAACAAACCGGCAGCCCAAACAAGTCACAAATAGCACCGAAAAAATCCCTTAGCAACATTTCAGATGCTAAGGGAATACTCTAAAATAGGGGTCCGAACATAGGAAGAGAAATTAGGCTCTGATACCATGTTGTAAAGCATAAATCGGAAGTGAAGAGATAAATAAAACAAGTAGACCACACAGATATTATGTGGTTCAACTACTAGGGCCTACGACACAAAGAGCCCAAAGGGCTACATCACTTTTATAATACTCTCTCAATTTATATACAATACAATGGTGGAGGCTCCTTTATATAGGAGAAGAAATTATGAGAATAGAAAGAATCAGAAAATAGGAAATAAGGAGGATTTTTCTCCACTGATTCCTCTAGTAACACCTACCCTGTAAACGGATCGGATTCGGACAGGATCAGGACTGATCCGATCCGAACCCGATAAGCATTTTAGTCGATCTGATAATCCGACGAATATTTTGTAAGCCAATCCGAATCCAATTTGTTAATAAACGAATATCCGATCCGATAAAAATGTGGTTTTTTTTATAAAAAAAGAAAAAATATATAAATTAATGTCAAAAAAGAATTAAAAAAAAACAATGATTATAAGAAAAAGATATAAAACAAAAGATAAGTAAAATATGAAAGGAAAAGAAAAAAAAAAATTTACTCTTTGTTAATGAATAAAGAGTATGATATTATTGGTATGTATATTAGGAGATTTATTAGTATGTGAATGAGAACACCACACTATTATACATAAAAAATTATGATTTTTTTTTTTTTTTTTTTTGGTTTTTTAGGTTACCTCTAATACAAATTTGATAGGAGTATGTATATATGTGTGTGTGTGTGTGTAAAATTATTGAAAAATAATATAATTATTTATATATATATACATTTATTCGGATCGGATCAGCATAATTCATATCCGATTTGTTAGGCTAACGGATTATCAGATTCAGATCGTAATTGGGTTATCGGATTTTTGTTCGATCCATATCCGACTAATCGGATTGGATCAGGATCTGCTCCATTGACAGGTCTAGTAACACCAAATCTTCAATAATAGGAAACAACATCAATTACTAAAAGATGTCCTCCACTGATTCCTTCATTAAATCTTCAATACTCCCCCTCTAGTTGGAGCATGAATGCCCAACTTGCCATTGAGATGACGAGTAACAACAAGTGTGAATGATGAAAAGAGAAGATGAAGAACAATGCTACCGAACACACCGATAGCCCAAACAAGTCAACAAAAAACTGCCGGAGACACGGCAAAGGCAAGGACAATGCTACAGAACACACCGGCAGCCCAAACAAGTTGATAAAAACTGCCGGAGACACTGTAAAGACAAAGACAATGTTACCGAACACACCGGCAGCCCAAACTAGTCAACAAAAAATTGCCGGAGATACGACAAAGGCGAGGACAATGCTATCGAACACACCGGCGGCCCAAATAAGTCGATAAAAACTGCCAGAGACACGACAAAGGCGAAGACATTGCTACCGAACACACCGGCAACCCAAACTAGTTAATAAAAATTGCCGGAGACATGGCAAAGTCGAAGAACATTACTGCCAAACAAACCGGCAGTCCAAACAAGTCACAAATAGTACCGAGAAACCCTTAGCAACATTCCAAATGCTAAGGGAATACCCCAAAATAGGGGTCCGAACTTAGAAAGAGAAATTAGGCTCTGATACCATGTTATAAAGTATAAATCGGAAGCAAAGAGATAAATAAAACAAGTAAAACTCACAGATATTATGTGGTTCAACCACTATGACCTACATTCACGACACAAAGAGGCCAAAGGGTTCATCACTTTTATAATACTCTCTTAATTCATATACAATACAATGGTGGAGGCTCCTTTATATAGGAGAAGAAATTATGAGAATGGAAAGAATTAGAAAATAAGAAATAAGAAGGATTTTCTCCACTGATTCCTCTAGTAACACCAAATCTTCAATAATAGGAAACAATATCAATTACTCATCAATTACTGAAAGATTTTTCTCCACTGATTCCTCTATTAAATTTTCAATAGTTCTCAATAAGCATACGGATGTGCTTCCTAATACGCAATCTAACATGACTTTTGACAACAATATTAGTTACAAATTTACAATCTAACCTACGTCTCCATTGTTCTTTACACCCAACCGGATGTGCGCATGCAATTGTTTATTTTCTTTCTTTTGCAGAAGGTGGCACATGCAAGTGCTAAAATACATGAATGTATGGACTCAAATAAAATGAAAAAATAACTTATCAAAAAAAAATAAAATGAAAAAAAAAATAAATATTTTTTTTGCAAGCTTGCCTTAGATTGTGTGTTTATGAGAATGGACTCTGTTATTCCCGAGTCCCAAATTTGAAGATGAAAATGATTTGCATGGTATCTTTATCCTGCCGAAGTCTTTGCATAGTGAAAGTTCACTTGAAGCAATCTAATATTTGGATTTCTTTCAGCTTAACTAGAATATATTTGTATATAGGCAGTGGACCCTCATGTGGAAGTTACTTTCCAATTCTTAGCAATTTCTATAATGATAATGCTGATGAATAAAAAACTCTCAATTAGTATTTTTTCTTATCATCATTTATGCCTACTATAACTAGTTATACCACTTTTCTAGACATCTCTCATGTGGAAATTGATGGGAACGTAAGGACATAAATTGGGCGGGAAAATAATAAAAATCAATGATCATGAAGCTGCATAGTACTAAAAGCTTTTGACACATTCTCGTTTCTCAAATGTGCTTGTAGGGAGTTGAACCTTGACATTAACCTATTAAGTAAAGTTCAACTGAAATTTTGTACAATGAGAAAAACGAACTATTCTCTTGTTATATTTCATCAGGAACTTTTATTTTTTAACCTTTTAGGAATTTTAAGATTGAGGATTCTCTTCAGCGTGTGAGGTCCACATAACTTGCAAAAAGGAGAAAGAATATGACAGAGAACAAATTCGAGGAAAAGTAATTGGGCTCAATATTGACAAAATTACAAAACAAACAAATCAAGGTTCCATGTGTTTTAGGATTTGGTGTCTGCTTCACACGTGAAAGAGATTCTTAATCTTTATTTGGCTCATTATAAAGATTGCTTTTTTATTTTTATTTTTGGTTTGTTTCTATAATACACCTTTAAAAAAAAAAAAATTATATCGTACTCTTGCAATAAGATCGTGGACCTGGATTTAGCTAATGATTATTTTTATTTCTTTTTCCCCGAATTGAAGTAGACATTCTTGCGTCAAAAGGTCACCCTAGCTTCTTCTGGCCCAACTTCTACATGGGTGAGTGGAGAGCAGAGAAACTTTGACATAAAATATGAAGATAAGGTGACTTCAGTCTCAGAGATAAGTCATCCTGATCAAAATGTTAAAGGACGTGTTTCAACGGCTTTGATGGATAATATGGATGGGAGCAACAGGAATGCTTGTGCAAGGACTGATGACAAGCATTTCAGCTTGTTTGATATTGGCCATGGAAATGAGAGGAAATTGGAACAAGCTTTTTCGAAGGTCAATGAGAATGCTACTGGTGCTGGTGCTCTACGTTATGCTCTTCATCTCCGTTTTCTATGCCCACCCTGTAAGAAATGTTCGCGATCAGAAAGAAGTTGCAAATCCAATCATCAATCTGTACAAGGAACTAGCTTAGATGTTGAAGGAGAGCAGAGATTTTATTTATACAACGATTTGAGGGTTGTGTTTCCTCAACGCCATTCAGATGCTGACGAGGGGAAGGTATGTTATATTAATTCCACATATTATTATATGGGTTTAGGCTGTTTTGAACATGATTAATGCACACTATTTCAATGTAGGTTGCTTATTCTGTAGATTTTCATATCTTTGTTACAATATCTGATTTGACTTTCTAAGCTATCTTTTAGTATATAATTACTCCATTATCTGGACACAGGTCCTTTTGCTACTGATTATATGTATATAATTCGAAATTTTCTGATTACGTAAATTGGTAGATGAAGCTTTGCTCTCTTGGAACCATGTATCTTTTATGGTTTTTGGGTGTTCACATTTGGAGTAATTTAGAAAGTGTTTGCTGCATTTAGATTTTTGATTGTTGTCTTGATCACCATTTCCCTTTCTTCCTGGATTTTATGGAGTTTCGGACCAAACTCCATCGTATTGTAATCAATTCAGTGAATAACAGTCATATTTTCATGTTCTTACATTTTTTGTCTGAATTACTGCCATGCTTGGTAGGCTTGTAAATTTCTAATGGCTTCATTTGGCTCAAGGGATGGAAAATTGGAAGGAAAGGAAGAGGTAGCCGTAGGGAAAGGGAAGGGTATTTTCCTCATTTTGTTCATTTTAGTAGGAAGAAAAGGAGGGAAGAAGGGAAGGAGTTTTTTGTGGTTTTCATTTTTTCTTCCATATTAGGAAAAAGGTCTTTTTTGAAGGGCGAAAGTGTCAAAAAGGTAACCCTTTCATACTTTCCAGTTTCCTCCCACTTTTGAGTGGAGGGAATGCGGTAGACTTGGAGGAAAAAGGTCCTCCCTCCTTTCCCTTCCCTCCTTGCATCTCTCAAAATAAGGAGAGGTCCTACATCCCACCCCTTTATAAATTCCCCTCTTCCTTCCATTATTCATCTCAACCAAGTGGCTGTATTATATATACTGTACATGGAGTCAATCTTGTATCCCTACGAGAACTGTAGTTTGCAGGAACTAAAGCAGAGCTGCTGACTTATTAGTCTTTATTCATGTCTACCGAGTGGCTGTATATATTGTACCTGGAGTCAAATCTTGTATCACTACAAGAACAGTAGTTTGCAGGAACTAAAGCAGAGCTGCTGATGTATTAGCGTGTTATCTATTTTCTTTTTGTCTTTGTATTTTTATTTTTCTTATGGTGAGTTAAATTTATAGGGAAAGAAAATAATCTCTTATTGAATACCTTAGCTTGAATATATGGCTAATGGGATTTGTTGCTGTGTGGTGGCAGTTGAACATGGAGTACCACTCTCCGGCAGATCCAAAATATTTTGATATCAGCAGCTGAAATGCGTACATCATTTCCCTCCTAAGCGAATGGTTCCATTCTATATGTGTACATACTTGTAAACATTTCCAGGGTCATTTCATCTCGAAACGGCATAACATAGTGAAGACTGTAGATCACCAATAATGTTCTTAAAATGTCTCTTGCGTAATGGGAATTGTTTTAGGAGCAGGACTGATGAGTTGGACCAGAAGGACTGTAAATTGATTCGAGTGCGGTGGTGGTTGTGCACCGATAGGTTTGTTGCTGCTGCATTACTTGTTTGTTTGTTTAAAGGCAATGATGCCCCTGTTATAGTAGGAGATTGGGTAAATTAATTTGTCACTCAAAAGGTTATTCTAGGAAGCATGCGTTTTTACACACCCCTTCCTCATTGGGAGTAATTAATATCTAAACCTGATGATGGCGATAATTAACTCAAGTGAGCCATTTGTGTCTTGGACTGGCCTAATAATGACGAAGGGGCTGAACTTGCATGGTTGGCATTAAAACAATTGGCAACGAGAAATGGACTTGAGCTGGGCCGTGACCTGTATTGTGGGCCAATATCTAGTTCTGGTTGATCCAAGGATTCTAAACTCAATTCTGTAATGTCTTTGGAATACTCCTAACCATATATTATGTGTATATGTTAATATTCTACCGCAATAATTCTTCTCAAGGAAAACAAACTGTACGTGGTTTAATTATTTCCGGAAATCATTAATTTGTAACTAATGGATGGATTATATATTTTCTAATTTGCTAATTAAAATCTGGATGTTTTTATTTTAATTATTATTATCTTTGCCGCTATAGATGCTTAACACCTAATTGCTGAAATTCATGGGCCAAACAAGATGGCCAAGGGTGGTGTTTAAAATTTTGGTGTATAAATTGAATGTGGAAACTGAATACGGAGGATAAACCCAATCAGTGTTTTAAAGTTTCTGCAATATGTAGCTAGCTAGCTAGCTAGCTAGCTGTGTGGTGTTCACACGGTGATGTGATTTTGTTTGTAAGCCGGATATATATATATATATATATCGAGAGAGAGAGAGAGAGAGAGAGAGAGAGGATCCATGGTGCCATTTATTATTATTTTATATTATCATTTTAGGATGAGGTTAGCTGCATGGTGTGATTTGGTTGAGTTGTAACCAAAGAGTGTCCAATCTTTGTAAGTAACACAAGTGCATATCAAATAAATTAATTGAACTTGACTTTTTACACACCAAGATATCATCATCATCAAACATGCAGTGGTCCAATTTTTTTAATCCATGGTGGCATTTATTATTTTATATTATATGCTTAGAGAGAGAGAGAGAGAGAGAAATAGGTAGAGTGAGAATAATGTTTGTGATATATGGTTGGGAGAAGACTAGTGGTGGTGGAACAACACAGCCATCCTAGTACTAACCATTAGAGGAAAGAATTAAAACCCTAGTGAGTCGCAAGCCATGACCACACATGCCAAACTTATCATGCATTTAGTAACATATACCAATCCCATCCATATCAGGTGTGTCCACCCAGCCCCAAGGGAGGAACACCCAGCCAACTTAACCCCTCTCATTCGTTTTAGGGCTCTAGCCACCCACCCCTCCCAACTGATGAGTGTCTTAGGCTCATCAATTGCCAGCTTTCTCTCTCTCTATACGACGTACACACACACACACACATATATAAACCGTCTTGTCTACGTGGCTTTCTATGATTTTGTCATTTTTACAATACTAGTAGTGGGACTTGAGGGTTGATTGTGTGACCTCTGATGAGGAATATGTAGCAGTTTTAGTAACTCGTTGGATGATTGGCTCATTGAGTTTACGTGTCAGCTTTGTTGCTGTGCTGTGCTGGCTCCGCCTATATAGAGAGAGAAAGTAAGGTCAATAAGGTAGAGAGAGAGAGAGAGAGACAAATTGCCGGTTTGGGTCTGTACGACATAACAGCTGCTGCACCCAAGTGTTACCACTTCCTGTCCTTATCGCCTGATCACGTCCTCTGATTCCTAACCCCCTCAACTTTGTTCAATTACCATTCTATCCTTTCTTTTCTTCCTCCTTTTAAACCTTTCACTTTGCCTTTTCTTTTATTTTCTACAGTGAAATTACTGTATTATCCTGCACTGTGTTTTATTTCCCCGCTGGATTAATTCTTCAATTTCGTGATATATATATATATATATATTATGGACTGATTGCAACCTTCATCGCCATACATGAGCCATACCTGAAGTCGTACCATAACAGTGCCTCTCTAATAATTGAAAAAAATATTTAGTGGACAAGATATTTATATAATGGGTAAAGGTAGTACAAGAAACATTTCTTAAATTGTGCTATAAAAGTAGAGGCCTTTATTTGTTGATTGTAAGGGAGAGGTTCAGTAATATTGAATTTTAACTTAAAATATTAGTCTATGTACAATTATGTGTTTGAACTTTGAAGCCATGCCTCTACTCTACTGTCCAAGTTTTAATTATAAAATTACAATATGGCATTGAATTTATGAGAGAAGTTGGATGATTATTCATATGTTGTACCTCATAATCAGAAATATATTGTACCTGCTTTCTAACAAGTACCTTTTATATGACATATGCTGCCATGACTCTCCTTTGTATCCACTGTAACAATCACAAAATCAAAATTATATATATATATATATATGTCCAACCCATCATTAAATCAAATTCATTTTACTTTTTCTCTCTCTCTCTCTCTCTCTCTCATAATTGCTATATTTATAGTCTAGAGGATTGCTCCTGCAGCTCCAACAACCATGCTTTCCATTGTTAAAAAAGAACAATTTAATATTGGATCTAATAATTTTTTATTTCCTTTTTTTTTTTTTAAACAAGCGGTTTCAATCTTCCACGTTAAAGTGGCATTAGGAGTTAATGTGATATATATATATATATATATATATATATGTATGTACTCTTTTGGAATTTGCTTGTTTATTAATTAGTAAGACGAAAACGTGTCATGTGGTGGAATGTGAGGGCAATCCTGTCATTTTGATCGTAAGCCCATCTTGTATTGTAGTGCAGATACAGACAAAGAAACAAAGCCTAAAACCCCGTATAAACCCACAGCAGTCACTCTCCACTGCTCTCCACTCTCTAAAAGGTTAAGAAGAAGTTAGACTTGGCTTTATCAGCTCAGAGAGATAGAAGAAGAAGAAGAAGAAGAAGAAGATCATTAATGGCGGACCCAAGCCTCTACGATTTCCTGAAGCAGCCGACCGACCACTCCACCGGAAAACCAACAGCGACGTCCCGAATGTTCTCGTGCCTCTACTGTCCTCGCAAGTTCTACACTTCTCAAGCTCTGGGTGGCCACCAAAATGCTCACAAGAGAGAAAGAGCCGCTGCTCGGAGAAGCTTCGCCGAAGATCGCTTGGGTCGCCTCCAACTCCAGACCACCAACCCCTCTGCCGTCGACGACCCGGCAAACCTACCTGCTTCTGCTTACTGGCTCGAACCAGTACTCCAACCCTTGCATGCCGCCTCCAGCTCAGCCCCTCTCGCCGGCGTTCATGGCGGCGCTGTTTCATCGACTACTCCTGAACCTCTCTCTCCACCATCTCACTCTGCCGACCACGTAAACCTTGACCTCACCCTCCGTCTATAGATAATCTACATCTATCCATCTATCTATCTATCTTCTTCTTTAACTTTAACTTATACCACCATGGAGTAGTAGTAGTATTTATCAATGGGTCCATTTCTTACACAACTATGTGTGTGTGTGTTTTCATTTCCTGCCTTTGGGATTTAGTTTTGTGGGTACGGTTTTGAACAGTGCCCAATTTAATTATCAGCTACCCTTAATATATGCTATATATGAGAACTATTGAAAAGGATCGATATATATATATATATGGTTCTAACTAAGCAGTTTCTAGGATATGGATATGGATATGGATATGGATGTGGATGAGTTATAGCTTAATTTTTAGAGAGAGAAAGTTGCTTTTCATATATAGCTAGCTAGGGAGTTGATATATATGCTTTTAATTAAGTTGGAAGTTCATTGACATGTTTATAATGATGATTCTTTATGCCAGCTAGCTGTTACAGATGTGTGATGGTTATTCTCTCTCTATATATACATACAAAATGGGTTTGTGTGCTTTTTGATGTGTAAAGTTGCAGAGATGGGAAAGTAAGAGGTTTGGGTACATACATGATATTCATTCATTAGTTTGTGTGTGTGTGTGTGTGTGTGTAGTACCATTATTTTCACTGAACCCAAATTCCGTAGCAACTTTTGTTTATGACTTCATCATCGATTCTGACTAAACTCTATATAATTATAAGGCCCTACATCAAATCTCGTTAATTAGATCAATCAGTTTGGTAATTAAATACAATACAATGGGCGGGATATATCTTTATTTGTTTATTTACTTGAATTACCAGCCAATTAATGTGTGTGTGTGTATAAAAGAAATCTCATGTTTTTGGATAGGAATGGACTGTTAATGGATTGTACGTAGTTCCTGATCACCTTAATTGCCAGCTGCCACTTACTGTGTGTGTTTTATCTTTAGTTTTGGTGAAAAAAAAACCCTAAAACTGAAACTGAAAGTGCAATGGGGTTTGGTTCCACAAAGGGCCCAATTCCTTTCTAATTATAGATGGTTCAAACAAGTAGAATAATGAAGCATTTACTCTCCTATTGCCAGTGACTGCTCAGCCCATCACTTACTAACACTAATTTTTTATAGCCTACCTTGTCCTTTTCTCTTGGCTAATTAATTACTTGCATGTTTTTATTCAAGCGGCTTAATGCTCCAATTGATTTTATTTTATCAATAAGTGGAGTAACAATACAAATTAATTTCCTCGTCCAAATTCAGACAACATATTGATACAAGGGTACATAATTATGTATTGAAATTACAGGCCGGCACTTGCAATATTGGCTCCACTGCTGTGCTCTAGAAAGTAGAAAGTAACGTAGGTTTGGATTTAATATAGTTCATGGTATGCATTATTTATGATTGACAAGAAAAGGTGATAAGGAACAACACATCATTCTATCACATTTTGAAGGTTCACAACAAATGTACGTGTGTACATTTCTGTCAATTTCAATTGGTATCAAACATCAATTCTGAGTAGCCCACATTGGACGGCTATATCTGATTACCAGCTGCTCATCATCTATTATATATCGACCCATCATAGTAATACCCTTTCCCTTCCTTCCCTCCAATCACTTCCAACTAAAACAACATATATATCATCAATCAATATGTCTTGTAACTTGAAAAATAGCACTATCACGTCATTTTTTGTAACGTCCTTGTAGCATTTTTTTTTTTAATTCTTCTGCTATTTAATTACCATCATATAAATTATCATGCACGAGCTGTTCCTTAAAATCAATCACATTTTTTTAATTCTTCTGCTATTTAATCACATCATATAAATTATTCATTCTTTTTGAAATCCAACTAGACAACAAGAAGTCATGTACTTTGGAAAGGGGATATGTTGGTGTATATTATGTTCCAAGCCAAGCCACATCTACACCCTTGTCAACGCCCACATAACACACACACACAGCATAGCTAGCATAGGGGACCTGGCAATGGCAAGCAAGTCCCATCTAAGTGTAGATACAGGAATTAGAAGTGGGGCTTAATTTGGACATTGCATGCCTCCTTAATTGCAACCAGACAAGCGTTAAGTGACATTTTATGAGATAGCATTTCAAAGACAGACCTGTGAAGATCGAATACTCTCTCACAATTAATGGAAGGAATGAAGTTCTATCAATATCAAGTTCTGCTCACCTATTTGCCACTTCTCTGTATGTATCACAATTAATGTACATATCTACATTTGTTTTACTTGCAATTCTTCTTATAGTCTCAGAGATCAAATTGCCTCATCTATTTTCGATCACCACTTTTCATTCTTTCTGAATCAAGGCAAAGCTATACACGCTCAGTCAGATCGATGTTGCCAAGAGAAATTCACCTACTTGAGTTGCTTGCTATTTATTTCACGGATTCTGTGATAACAGGGTGCATCAAATTAATTCGACGGGCAAAACAACAATCCATTCAAAACCCTGCCAAATCATAACACGTACGTCACATATTACAGATTAGCCATATCAGCTTTTTAACTAACAATTTATAACAAAATTTTAGTACACCCAGTTCCTTGTGAATAAAGATGGCGATCCACCATAGGTGGCCAAATAATCAAAGTTCAAATGTTGGGACTTCAGAGTCAAAGCCATTTGCAGATTGGTAGATTAACCGAGGGATTATATTCCTATATGGATCACTTTCTCTCTTCTCCTTCAAATAAGCAAGGCATTTCTCAACCTCAGACTGCACTTCCAAATACAATTTATGTGCTCCCTCCCTATTCCTTAATTCCTGCTTCCTCCCTTCACAGCAAAATCAAAGCTTGGATAATAAGAATGCACACATGGAAAAGAGAGAGTTGAAGAAATATATGTATATGAATAATGATGCAAACGTCAAATTGAATGTATTATTCAAGCAGCCCAACAATTATCATTAAATCGTTCAAAGTCTAAACCCAAAAACTCTCAATCATACTAACAATGTGAAAGCAAAATCCAACCAAAGTGTCCCAACTGCAACCTATTGTCTTTATCCAATGCTGTTTACAAACCCTTATCAAAAGTCATATCAAACAGACTGAAACCAAATGTTAAAATCCTAGCAGCACATGAACTTCTTCACTTTCTGAAAAACAAAAGAGTACATGGCCATTATGTTGGACATGAGAAACACCTACTATAAGGTGGAGTGGCAGTTCTTAATGCTATGATGGAGAAACTACGTTTCACCTCACTGGATTTAATTGATTATGACCCGCAAACCAAATGTTGAAATCCTTGTATCCAATGTTGTTTCCTATTCTGTTGTGTTAATGGTTCCCCAACGGGCCTCATAAAACCATCAAGAATACTAAATTAAAGGGGATTCTCTATCACCTTCACTATTTTTATTGTGTGCCGGTCAATAACCATCACTAGTGCCTCACATTGGGACGGAGCCAGAAAATTGTGTGAGAGGGGGCGATAGTGTAATTTTTTAATAATTTTACTGGGGGCGGTAGTATAATTTTGTAGGTATATATATCAAAAAATGTAAATTAACAAGATGTATTACTATTAAAAAAAAAAAAAAAAATCAGTGGGGGCAATTGGCTCCGTCCCGGCACAAAGAAAACTTATTACAGATTTACATAGGTTAATGACTTAAAGTTTGCGGGATGGATCCAGAGATTAATCAGTTAATTTCTGATAATTCACTGCTACTCTGTTAAGATAATGTTACAGTGGCTGCAAGGTTAAGGGGCTGTTGAAGGACTATGAACTTGCTTCAGGACAGTAAGTGAATAATGATAAATCATCTGTATTCTTCAGCAGGAATGGAGTAATTGATATGGCTCACTGCACGCATCCACCAAACAAAGTTAGATTTTGGTGCTGGGTAATTCTGAAGGGGTCACAACATTAGGGTGGTTCACAATCTAAACCACTGATTATTTAATTTAACCTTAATGAAATACAAAAATCTTGAAAGTTTTAAGACCAGTTTAAGGATATGGTGCAACTATTATTTCAACTGAGAAATATATTTGAGGCAGCAAAGAATTTGTGATGCCAAATAAACATTCAGTCACGGGGTCATTCAGTAAACATACCTGCTGTTTCAATAGGCTTCCCGAATAAGTAATAGAAACGGCCTGGTAGTTTTGGTAGTAAATATGGAAGGTGTTGAGCTTGGTTTGCTACCTCTCCATCAATGTCAGTCCTATATCACAAGATTTACAAAAGCATGCATAAAATAAATAAAAACGCAGCAACAAAAGGTGGGGAAAAAAAAGACAGAAATGAAAAAACCCTCAAGGAACATAGAAAAACAACGATATTAAATCAATACTTGTGCAGTTTGCATATCTATAATTTTTAATCTTTTATTTTTTCGGAAAGTTTCATATCTCTAAATTTTAAGCAAAACAGAATATGATGTATTTGTCAGGGGTTGGCTGGAACTCACTCCTTTTGGGTAACTAGGAGGGGAAAGAAAAGAAAGGATAGCAGTTATGGAAGAAAAAGAAAATAAATGGAGATTAGTGTTAATTTCTCCTCATTTTTGGATAATTAACGAAGGTGTTTGGTCAATAGGACTTAAGTTGTCAAATTTCTTAGAACAAAACTAGACTCTATAACTTTGATTTTAGTTCTAGCTTACATTAGAAATATCAAAAGTTAGTTAGTGTTAGTTGTTACCTTTACAATTGGTTGAAGAAGGAAATTGAAGCTACATTCAAGTGTAACTGCATAATCTTATTCTACAAGGATAAAAGGTAATTTAACATATCGATGCACTCACCAAACTAGGGGTCATGCATTCATAATATGGATTCTCGTTTCTACATGTTGTGATCTTATTTGATTCCCTACATCTTTCAAAACATGCATTAAAGAGTTTTTGAAAACTTCTTTTCTAATAGTTAGAGTAGGTACAAAACGACTTCATTTGAATGTGGTTTTCTCATTACTCCATCTTTCTACTAGAAGGGGTAAAGAAGAAGAATATTTGGATTGAATGAACATGAATCCAACTTGGATATATGATTCAGAATTTTGCACTCTCCTCCATCTACTTTGCAATTAGAAATGAGGCTAGATATTTGGATAGAACAAACATGAAATCCAACATGGCCATATGATTCTGAATTTTGCACTCTCCATCTACTTTGCAATTAGAAATGAGGCCAGAATTCGAGACTTATAACATACACTTTCTCTTCCCACTTTAGTTTATACTTTTGTGCACATTTCTGGTATCAATGCGGCCATTTGACTTGAAGTAACTGCTGTATGTGCCACTTGTGAACTTGCAACTAAATTTATTTAAAAAACCAAGTAAATTGTGACAGCCTGCATTAATAAAGTTTGAGTGTGCTGAAGCAGATAGGGTGTTTTTAGTAAGATATGGAGTTATATCACTTGAGGGTGTTCTGCCCAAATATAAATTAAATTCAATTTCAGCACCTTAATTATCATTTCCATTTCAGTGCCATTTTACAATCACAGAATTTTCCCCAGTTATTAGTCAATTTCAAAAAAGCATTCAGTACAGATTTTCAGCACCTCATGCTGTACGGCTGACAATGTAAAGCTTGCTAAAATATTGGAAATCCATTTTCTAATATTACGTTTGTAATTGTTCTTTATGTTACAATCTTTTAACCACTTCTTTTTACAATCCAATCCAGTAATCTTACTAAGTACTACAGTATATTTTTATGACACTCATGGTTTAGTAAGAGATCATCACTCCTTCCCAGATGAGGTTTCAAGTGTATATGAACACAAAAATCTGTCAATTTTAAATCAAATATGTGAAAGACAAGTTGAAACTAAAAAATCCTGAACTAGAATATACTGAAGTTAAATAAAGGGAAGCAAAAGGATAAAGTGTTAAAGACAAAGACAATAATCTTACACAGGTCAAAGAAAACAATAATAAATACCTCAACCTCACAAACTGATTAGTCCGTTCTTCTATTTCAGCTCTAAGATGAGGAATCTTCATTTGATCATCATAATCAAAGACTACCTAAATACAACAAAACATATCGGTCACTTATTACAAAATCACTTCCAGTTACAGAGAGCAAATATAAAAACAGGTAAGCCACATAGAGAGCCAAGCTGCAGATGTTGTATTCTTCACGATCTTAAATAGCCACAATAAATTGAGAAAAATACAATGGAGTTAAAAAATGAAAAAAACTCCACCAAGGAATTCTTCAAGAATTGAACAAAAGCTCATGACCAGAGAACCACGGCAAAGATGTACCCAGCACTTCAAAAATCCCTTTTTCATTTAGTAGGAAATTAGAGTGAATCCAGTGAAAAAGAAACATATTCTATAGTGTTTCATAACAAGTATTTTGCTCAGTAACACAAATCTTGTCCTTTCGCTTAACTTGACCAGAGCCATTAATTAGTTTAAGCATAATTCTTCACATGTCGCCTTCCTATCCGTTTCTCATTACCTTCGAGGCTTCAATTCACACCAATTCACTCTTGTGAATGCTGCAACATTGTCTTTGATTCAGATTTCCAATTTACATGTTCTTGCTATTCCTATTCCGCACAGGATTCATGCCGGGAAGATCAACAATGGAAGCTATATACCTACTTAAGTATTTAGTTGAAAGATGAAATTCTGAGATTGACGAGGGAGGTGAAAAAGCAAGAGTCCTAGGGCGAGCCGGGGCAAGTGTAGAGCTACGGGGGTCGAGTCAAAGGAAAGACAGTCGAAGGACAGGGGTCGCTAGGTCAGAACTAGAAATCTTCGACAGGTTACAAATATCGAAATGAAAAAAGCTATCTGTCAAGAGCAATATTGGCATCTCATTTTTTTTGCTTAGTTTTCATAGTACGGACTGGTGGCCTAGATTTCGAGTGCACTGGGTGATGCCAAGAAACATTAACACATCATGACTAAAAGAATAAGAGAAGAGATACTCTAAAATTGCCCCTCTCCCAACAATTTGTTGTGTATTAAGAGCAGAGAGAAATAGAATTGGAGTGACAGAAAACTGGTATCATTAAATCAATTTTTTCTTTTTTTTTGCTTCTCGTCAATCTTCTCCGTAAAACAAATGGAAATAGTTGGCTTTTCTGTTCCTTTCACTTCTACTATGAGACAAACTATTCAGTTTAGAATAGTTTGATGTTACTGGTAAATTGGTAACAGCATCATGACAGATAAATAGCAAAAAGACATTTAACTGTTGTATGCTACAAATCTAATAATCGAAAACAAAAGCAGCAGTAAAGAAAATTGAAAATTTCAAGCCTACTTGACAAACATCATCTTCACCGACAGCACCAAAGGGTATAATTTTGGCTCCAAATCTAGCAGCCATCCTTACAAACTCGGATTGTTCTGGCCAGAATAACTTGTATTCTTCACCCTGGAAAGTTTTAGGAGTTGAGTATTAATGCAAAATCAGTACAAACTTTATGCTCAACATACATCTAGCTTATAGGGTCGTGCATACAAATTCATACGAGAAAATACACTAAGGCAAAGAATAAGACATACATATTACATTCCTGGCATCAGAAAAGGTAAAAGTTCTTTACATAACGTTAAAGTTGAAGAAATATAAAAGAATAATAATAGTAACAACAACAACAACAACAATAATAATAATAAAGTGATATAAGGGGTAACTTTTATCATAAATATATATTTTTTTTACCAATAGTTGGTCCAAAGATATTTCTGTTAATTTTTCAGAACGAAAATATGCTGTTGTGTTATCTACTTTATTATTTTTTTTCCGTTTTCAAATAATTTATCCTATGAAGCAAGAAGGAAAGACGCGGTGGCAGTAGGCACTAGCAGGATGGTATCCCATACAAAGGTAAATCTACAATTATTAATATAGAGTAATTTAAATTGTAAAGAAAATAAATATTTAACAGGTAGCCACAAGATGCAACCACTAAGGGACTGTTTTGGATGTTCCTTTGAGTTTGAATGGCTCCGTTAGGATTTACATATCATTTTAATGTAGAAGTTCTATTGAATGGGGCCATTAAATAAGATGGTAGCCATCTCAAAATTGATGTTTAAAGTCAATTATTTGTCATTTTATGTAAATAAAAAAATGACTACGTGGAAAGAAGAAATATGTTGAGTTTCTCTATTTTTTGAAAATAAAATTGAAAAAGTTAATCGTGCCACTCAATTTAAGGGGACATTCAAACAGGCCTTAGAAAGTTACCTTTCTATGAAGAGCCTCACGCATGCCTCCTGGATACAGTAGCACATGGGACTTTGAAGAAAGTAGCCTATAAAAGTTAGTTCCCGAAACAGGAACTGCACCCATAATTCTGAGTATATCAAATGTTGATATATCAAGTGGACTTCCATCTCCCATCTTCACAAACATCATTGGATGTGCTAGTCCTCGCAGAAGAATATTTCTTTCAGCCCAGAGTCGGGATACCAAAGGAATCAATTCTATCCCTAGTAACATGTGATAGCCAACAAACAAGATTGGTCCCTCAGAAGGAATACCCGCAAGGCCCTTCACAATCTTCCCATTCTCTAAAGTTGAGAGCATCACAGGATGAGTAGCTGCCTCCATCCATCTACAATTTATCATAATCATGAAGCAGTTTAACCGGAATTATTGTACCACTGCAATACAATGATTCGTAGAATTCCTTTTGGAAAAGAAAATGGTCTGCTGAACTGTGAAGTAGGCTACGAGCCTTTTCACTAATGACATGATGATAAATGTCGAGCACGCACCAGGAACAGAATCAAGCTACCAGTGGGATTCTCCTAGTTGATCTCTCAAGATAGAGTAAAAAATTTAACCTTAGAAATCAGCATAAGCATTCCTAGCATCATCTTACTTCATCTCCGGTACTTCTACCTTTTTCGTTTCATGAAGCATGTATATATATGTATATGCATATACTTGAAAGAGAGGATCACATAATGAGATTTCCTTGACCACCAAATACTATGTTGTACATCAATACCCATGCATATATAGTGATGTACCATTGATTACAAGCAACATAGACAGAATTCTGTCACTGTTATTATTACATAAGATTGTTTTATTTCTAATTTTTTTGCAAATATCAATTACCTGATTGATTCATATATCTTTTTGAATTCAGAAGGGCTTGGTGGTATGTAATCCGAGGCATAGTCAAGACATCTTGCACGGCGATAATAACTAGCACCTTTTATGATGGTCACCAAGTCAACACCATCTTCCTGTTACATTATTGGAGCATCAGTTGATAGTCAATGCTGGGGTCATTAGACAAGGTAAACACTATTTTGTTGTTCATTGACATGTGCTGCTTTGCAAGATCAAGATAAGTACATCATAACTGAGAATCCATTCATTCTTTTGTTAATTTTCAGAAACAGCCCCCGAAAGTGCGTCATCTTTACTAGGGTTGAGACAGAGAGAGATTTACCAAGAGAAGTGCATGGCCCTGGTCACTAAACTTACGAATCTGACATTTTGGCAGTATTCGACAAAGTCTTTCACCTTCCTCTTCACTTGGTAGCAGCTGATCCTTCCCACTATAATGACATTAACAAAGGCGCCAACAACAAATGGAACAAATGTTAGCTATAAAGTTGAAGTAAAATGCAACCAGTAAACAAGCTTGTGTTTTATTATTACTTGGGGCAGCTCAAATTCTTAAGAGAACAAGCAGAGGCCTCAATACCACTGCTACCCATGTAATGCTTCCTCAATTGAAAAAAATAAAATAAAATAAAATAATGGCACCATCATAGAAACATTTGTAGCACCATAAAGTATATATCAATAGCAACAAAGTCCATTTACAACAATTACTAACCTAGGTACTTATTGTGTGACAGCTTCAAAAGTACTAGTAGATGAAGCAATGGGTATGATAAAAGGTGAATCAATAAAGTTCTTTCAAAACTTCATTGTAAATTTAATGTTGGGGTGAAATGTTATAAATCAATGCTGAGTACATCTGGCTAATACAATTCTATATTTTTCGAATTTAAACAGTAGAATCAATGATTTGATAAAAGTTGAAGTGTTTTTTATGTCTTGACTATTCAATTGTAGTGTCAATTCTGAAGTCAAATGTACAGATCAATTCTGTAGTACTTATGGCAAAGGAAGGATTTTAATTTTCTTGTAAGATGTTTTATACTTTTGGCAGATTTATGTAGTTTGTTTATTATAGGAAAAATACGTATAAGCCTTAATTAGACAAGCAGTTAAGATTGTGTGTAGAAATGGAATGACTTGTTTTCATATTAGAATATACAAGTATTTTGCCAGGAAGATTTAGGAGGGTGAGGTCCTTTGGCTGACGATTCTTGCTGTTGCAAGGAAATCTCATCTCGAACTTAAAAGTAAAAACAGGGAGAACTTACATTATTTAAAATATAAAACTTGATCCAAAATGCATGTTAAAAATTTACTGGAGAGAAAAAAACGAAGTAATAACAGTTGACGAGAATGCATTCTGAAAATACCATCCCAAACACACCCAAGCGTTGCCTTTTTTTATTTGAAGTATGAATTTCTATATCAAAATTCGAAAGAAAAAAAAAGGTGCCCCATATGATAGTAATAATAACATTGACAATAATTATATCAACAGTTTAAGTTTTATGATAAGAAATATATAACGTAGAAATTTCTATTAATAAGTTCTAATAAGAGTACTTGTTGCCTTTATGTGTCTTGGACAGTTCCACCAAACCAGCTAGTTGTTTATTCACAACATTTCAAGAATAAGTTCTCATAATATTTATTTTCCCACTATAATTTGATTAGGATGGCAACAAATGCTGAACAGTAAGGACCTTGAAAGTATCAGTGTCTGTGCTTTAACAGCATGGAGACGTGAATTGGTGTATGCAGAAGCGGATTTGAGCATCTGCAGCTTCCAGAGAAGTGTTTCTCCAGCTAAAACATCAGCAAGGACCTGTGACCTTAATCATCAATTCTTTTTCACATAATTGACAGTGCATGATAAGAAATTTAGAATTTAAGCATCAAGGTGAAGGAACATTAACACAAAGTAGTAAAGACATAGGCAGTCATCTCTATGCAAAATCCTATATTAGTCAACACACCATATACAGAGAGACATAGAACTATAGAAGGGTGTGCCATATTGATGTTTAAAACAAGTACAATAAATTTTGACAAATGTGAGATGGGACACTTATGTTGCATATATAACACATCCTGCAGGATATATCACAGTTCACTTATCTATTCATGTTCATAATGTTGAATCTTACAGAAAGGAAAGATGACAATGCTATAACACCCTGCGATAGTTCTCCAACTGTTTGTTCCGGAGGAAGTCCTTTCTCCCAAGTAGCCATCGCCATTCTCAAAGGAAGACCTAAATATTACAATTGCTTTTGTCATTGGGTAAAATATGACATTTGAATCTAATATGCAACAAAACATACCCTTTCTGATTTCATTACATATGACTCGAACAATGAAGAAGTGCCTGTTAGAATTAGTTCCGAAAAGTCTATTCCCCTTGGAAGACAATGTCATGCTTGTTCATAACTAATCTTGATCAGAGGCCAATTTTGCAAAGTGCTTTTATATGCCTTTTAAGAGCGCTAGTTAAAATAAGGCCAAACTGTTTAAAATTATGTTCTGTTATGCTGCAAAATACAGGGCCATTAAACTATGAAGACCGGATATGGATGCAGTGACTTGGACATAACAGGGGCACAAGCAATAAAATAACAATATATATTATTATATTTATAAAATAATTTTACTCAAATTATCCATAATACCAAGAATGTAATCACCTATTTTTTCATAAATTAAGGTATTGGGTTTTTCTATTAAACATGCTCCCTCTGCCCCATAATACTTGTCCATTTTGGGAACTGTGACTCACAATGGACAAGTATTATGGGACAGAGGGAGTAATATTTTTTAAAATTGCAATGGAACCTCAATTTTGAAATAAAAATAAAAATTGTAAAACTGCCCCCATCGTCTCTTAAGATTGTCCCTGCTGTATCCCTAACGTGTCCCCTCCTTGTCCAACCAAAACTAAATAAAAATAACTAAGTGATGCGAACTCCACCAGACATGTGGCGGGCATTGCCATGACACCCCCTAGAGTAGTGTCCGTGCTTTCTAGCCATTAAACAAGTTAAGCAGCTCATGAGTGACTTGGGCTTGGCTTGTTGAAAAGTTCGTCTAGGCTTGTTCACCATTCAAGCCAACCAAGCTCAACCTTTGGTTTCTACTGAACTGTTTTAAAGTCCAAGTCAATGAAACAAAAGGTTATGCTAAATTAGGCTCGTGGATTTCGAGGTAGGCTTTGTGTCATTGTCCAAACATAACCTTTAAAGGAAAAAATTATATATATATATGACCAGTGAATGTGGTGAAAAATAGTACACTTTTAGGAGTATGTTATAGTCACTAACCAAGAAGCACGAACACTTCTACGAAGATGCCGGTGTCAGACACCATGTTGGATACAGCACTCCGTGGGCACTTCATGGACACATGTCCAATACTTCATGGTCGTGTTCAAAATTTAAAAGTAATTGTCATTAATTTGGACACTTGGCCGACACATTTTGGACACTTGACTGACACATCCCGGACAATTGACTAACACATGCTACACTCTCAAATACAAGTCTTATAAAATACAAATATATAATAATCTTGAATACAAAATAGTTCAAAATGTCCAATCTATTTTTCTTTTAAAAGAAAATTGGCACTATATACATGTCACAAGACTCACAACATGTAATGACACTTCTTAATATGACAAAATTTTAATTATAACAAGAAGGCGGAAGACGGGAAGAGTAAAAACATATATAATATTAGGATATTCACATAGCTCTCTCCTCCAAATTATGTAACACGTTCAGAATTGTTTAATAGACTTATAAATGATAATTTATATTTATATTAGCCATGCCACACTATATCCGTGTCCTACATTTCTGGATATGATGTGTCGCCATATCCGTGTCGTATCGTATCCGTGTCCGTGCTACATAGGTCACTAATTTACAATAGTAAGGGTAGAAATCTCAGCAGCTTGAAGGGTTAACACTTCTAGAAAATGCAAGCTAACAAAAAATAAATAAATAAATAAAGAGAACTAAAACGGTGAGAAGTGCAACCACCTTTACTAACATTAAATAATTAGCCACACTCTATCATCACCTTGACTATATCCAAATATCTACAGTATCTTTGACAAAATAAATACTCTAGATGTGATTCAACATATGTATTTGATGCAAATAGCAACTTGGCCAGTTTTGGACTACCTGAACCGATGTTGTCAGCTCTAATTGGTGATACCAATGCAATGAAGCAATTAGAAAAACTAGAATATAAATCATGAGAAAAAGAAATGGTAACCTGTCAGTAAACTCAGCATATAAGGCACCCCATGATGGAGCTGCACAGGCATGAATTCCAAGAAAGGTAAAAAAGGTTGAAGCTGTGACTTGCTGAAACATGTAGCTGCGAAGAAAACATTATGCAAAAGGAAAATGATAGTTAAGAACACACTGATTATTCAAGCTCCCATCCACATGTTGCAATAAACAAATTTCTCACCTGGGTTAGACAAAATCAGTACAAGATCAATTCCAGGGTTACGGGCAGCCACAGTCAGTGCAAGGCATCCTCCAACAGATTCTCCAACAAGATATATAGGCCTGTTTGGTGATAGGTAATATTCTGATCTAACTGTTTTTTCAACCAGATTCACCAGGTCTGAACCGTAACAAGTTGGAAAACACTAGATTAGCATTTTATTCACTTAAAATATTTTCATATTGAAAGTAAAAGCAGTGAGAATAGTTCTTATGTTTAAAGATATCAATATAATGTCTTTGGATATCCACATGAATTTGAATGGCCACCATTGCATTAACCAAAGCATTTGAAATGAAAAACTCATCATCCAGAATGAATGGGGCCGTTACAGAAAATGGGAGACTTTCACGATGTTCAATGACATGAGATCATTTTCAGAATTTCTGAAATGGTAATTGTTCAAATTTGTTCATATTCATTTAATGTGGTAAATTATTCCCTGATGAGAGAATGGATTCATAAATTAGAATGCTATGAATTAGGCCAAATTTCCATGGAAGGTCCAAATGCACCAGAAGTTCACGAGCTCTTGATCATGAGATACAAGTTAAAAGAAGTTATGGGCACTGTGAGCACAAATTCATAATGACAGCTTTATTGACATGCTTACTCTAGTGTGGTCAAGACAACACAAAGTATCACTTCAAGCTCAAAATGTAAATTATGAACCTAAGGCCAAAGAGTAGGGCAGCATTGAAGTGCAATCCTTCACAAAACCACCAATGCTCTAACACTCTGTGCAGTCCATTCTAGCGTATGTTAATTGAATTAAGTAGCTGAGAGAGAGAGACACCTGCAAATGGTGTTCGATCCATAATTGGAATATGCAAGCACCATATATCAAAAAGCCTTCAATTAAGAGAAAACCACAAAAATTAGTAACATAAACAATCATACTAAATAGATTATGACATAGACTAAACAAAGATAACGACCCATATTCATGACACATTTCGATATTGCAAAGAAACTAAAGACAATCTAAATGCATGAGTGCCAAAATTTACTTTCCAAGTCTTTGATGGTGCAAAACAAGTCCTAGTCCAAGACCATCAACCCCTGCAAAATTCAAGTTTAACAAAAATAAGTATTTGAAACGAGCAAAGAAATACAAAAACAAGAAGAGAGTAAATAAAATAAGATTTCCCACACCCCCAGGAATTTTTTTTTTTTTTTGTTTTTAATCCCACAAATCTGAGAAAACTACAATGCGTCTATTGTGTTGAAGATGGATATAAGATCAGTTACTTATATGGAACATATCTATATACAAATAAATTTTATCTGTTGGATTGTGTACATACTCAGATAGTTTCTCTTCATTTTATAGACATTCCTTGACAATTAAACTTCTCAGTGTATGGTGCCAAATCTCTCAAATTCAACTCCCAAAGAAGTGACTGAGTCAGGAATTCACTGGAAGGGAACAATGTTGAAGAATATTAAGATAAAAAAAAATTGAGCAATATAATAAATATAATAACTTTATATGTCAGAAGATGAATTTTTTATATTAAGCAAAAAAATTATACAAATTGAAGAGAAAACCTATTTATTTTTAAGTAACACAGGTATACAAAACAAATTCAAATTTGTGCGTGTGTTCTAATGTATCCCTCATCCAGTAAAAACTATTGAGAATTTTTAATTAGTCAAATTAGTTAGGACTATACAAAACTAGACTCAATAAAAATAAATAAATGAAAGTTCTCGTATTATTGGAAACTTTAACTATGCGCTTTGCAAAAAAATAAAAATAAAAATAAAAATAAAAATAAATAAAAAAAAATAGAGGCTTTCATGATTTGGAGTAAAGATCTTTTACTCCAAATCAATAAAAAGAAAAGTCAAGCACTAATGATTTGAAGAAAGAAAAAAAAAATGTAATTGGCACTAGTCAAATCATAATCGTTCAAAAAGTTTTGACTAATCCGATTAGACTGATCATTTGGATTTCAATTCTTTTACAAAAAAACCGTCTTAATTAGTATGGAGAAGGCATGTGATATATAGCATGACTGTATGTCCTTTTGGTAAAGTAGAAAAAATTTATGTCTTCATTTTAAACTTTAATAGGCTCACCGAGTCTCTTCTTCTCGTAATCATGGCATTACTGTACGTACCTTGCTAAAAGGTATGGTATTGCCGCTAATACTAATTTGATTAGTAAGAAACAAAATATACTACTGTAGTACTATAATTATATCATATACTCTATATATATATATATATATATATATTGTTCACTTCTCTCACAGTTAGTAGAAAGGAAAAAGAAAAAAATAAGAAATGCGGTAATGATTCAATGAATGAAATGAGTGGGTGAGTGACCTGGTAAAAAGAGCAGCAGAGGGGACTTGTCTAAACGAGAGCCGCACTCTAAGGGCGAAAACCAGCGAGGCGGCCCACCGTCCGATTTCATCAGATCCGTCGACTGCTCAAAATAATCCTTCAAGCTCAAACCATGTCCTACCTCCGCCTCAACCTCCTTCCACCTCGACTCCGACTCCGACTCCGACTCCGACTCCTCATCAAGTTTCCGTGCGGTCTCTGCTTCGGACCCCAACCTTCTTTCCCGCCGTTGTTGTTCGGATAACTCAACGGATCGCCTAGTCGTCGCCGACGACTTCACCACCAAATGTGTTTTCAGTTTCAATGTTCCGCTATCCCGAGATATTTCACGGCCAAATATCGCCGATGAACCGCCGCCCACGACAAATGCCGAGCTGGCCGCCATCAAGGTATATCTGCCGGACCACAAACTCCCTGTCCAAAATTTAAAGCCTTATTACACTTTGTGTTGAGAATGACTGAAAGAGATTCACCAATATAATTATCATTTTAATACTCTACTAAATCTGTAATTACTCTTCAAATCAATAATTACTTGTCGTATTTAATAACAATTATGGAGATTTGGACCCATTGAAACAAAATAATCTTATTGAAACAAAATAATCTTCAAATCAAGACAAGACCCAATCGATCATGCAAGTTTAAAAGAAGCTCAACTTTCTTGACTATTATAGGTCGTTGGTCTCTTGAGTCTTGTCTGCCGCCGAATCAAGATCCTCTTCGCTACAAATTCATCATTTATTTACATCCAAATACAATAGCATTTAATATACATCAACATCTTATATCAATGCAACATATTATATTAGTAAAGTCAATCACTTTCATATATATATATATATATATATATGTGTATGTATTTAAAACTTTCATAAATATATAGTAATTAATGATTTTTTATATATGAGTTTAAAATTTCATCCCTCTTTTAAATATAATAAAAGTGAAATTCATCTAATATTTTATAATAACATAACTAAAATATTATCAATTAAATTGCTAAAGAGTACACCGTTCTTTTGTCATCCGCATTACCTTGGTCCTAATCAAACTAGGTGCCTTACACCAATTTTCTTCTTTTCTTTTTTCTTTCTTCCCAAATTATCTTCTATTGAATTTTCGAAGGTTACTTAGAATAACCTTTTCTTTCTAGACAATTTTCTTTACAAATGACTTTCATGATATTTTAGTTTGAGATATTTTAATAGATAAAATAAGAGAGTAGATTTAGATAGAAGAAACATACATACCAAAAATTTGTATCTTAAAAAATGAATACCATTTGTCAAACAAGAAAGAGACACTAAAGACAATCCAAATTAGATGAGGCTGTTAAAAATGATTTTAAATTTTAATTATAATAGGTGAGACCCATTTAAAACAAATATAGAGAAAAAAAAAATTATAAAGCCAATCTTATTTGCATGAGATTAAGACAAATATGATGATGACAACAATCTTCTTGTATATATTAAAATTAGTTATTTAGTTTATTGCATTTTATAGCATAGGACTAACTTTCTAAACCGATTTGATCATAACCATTTGATGTGAAATCAAAAATATTAAAAGCATTTATTTGATGTACTAATTATTTTCATAAAGTTAAGCCTTTAAAGGGTTATTGTTTAAGGACAATGTTTAGCTACTCAAATTATTTCCATAGAGTTAAGTCTTTTAAAGGGTTATTGTTTAAGGATAATGTTTAGGTATTCACCGGTAAGTAGTTTTATCTTACTCACTCCTTTGAAGCATTTGATGTGAAATCAAAATTATTAAAATCATTTATTTGATGTACTAATTATTTTCATAGAGTTAAGCCCTTTAAGGGGTTATTGTGTCCATTGCTTAATGTACTCGTAAAAGTTTGATTATCAAATACGATAATGTAAAGTTCTATGGTAATAATTACTTTGCGAGAACAATGTCAAAAATTAACTGTCATGCTCAATCTATTTTCTTCTCGATGAGGATAATTTTTTTTTTTATTTACATGTTTTTTATTCTTTTATTTTAAAGAGGTCAATGTAACAGTTTTACCTGAAGAGATAAATTTTTTATTTAAAATTTGTGATTTACATATCACAAATGAGTACTTTCATCGTTAAAAAATATAATACCATGCAGCATAATAAAATAAAAAATGTTATATTATTTAATCGAAGATGCAACAATAATAAAAATAATTTAATAGTGTTGCAATCTACATATATATATTTTTTTACATCACTGCGGATGATTCATAGGTGCTGCATACTAAAAGTAAATGTGTTGTAACGATTTCTTGATATAGTGGCATTATCCATTTAAAAATTTAGTTCCGGTCCAACTAGCGAAGGGTGAGGTGGACAAGAAAATAAAAAACAGGAAGCGAGGCTTCACATAATTGTAGTAAAGCGAGGGCCCCGCAAAGTGTCCCTACATTTTCGCATGTGATTTGTTAGTGTATAACCAAATAAAAGATAAATGGGTAAATTATACTCGCCCCCTCTAGTTACTTAAAACTCAAACGGCTTCCCTCAATTAATTGAAATGTCATTTACCTCCCCTAAAACAAATTTTCGTCATTATTATACACAATTAAAGTTGTTAGACTATGTAATATGAAGTCACAAAGGGTTGATTTGGTTAGCACAAATTAAATAAAAAGGAATTTTTTTTTTTAATTTTTTAAGAATTTGGTTGGGATGAAATGAAATTATTTTGTGAAAGTTGAATCTTTTTAGTTTTCTTTTATGCTCTTGTCAAATTTTTTTTTTTTATTTTTCCTCTCCTTTTAAGATTCATAAAAGAAGTGAGTTTTCTTGATTCATAATTAGACTATGTTATTAAGTTACTAACTATTTTTACTCTTTAGATTAGGACTTTCTCCATACATATATTGGGATCAACAATGGAGCAATCACAATCACTTCAAGACTAACGTTTTTTAAATGGGTAGTCACTAGTCATTGTTGGTGTGCATTTTTACACACTACTTTGTACTACGTATAAATCAATATTCCCATGATCATGGATTTAAAGTTTTACTCATTGCAAGAATAAATAAAAATAAAAATAAAAATCACTCCAATTGTTTGATTTGTTTTTTAAGCCCATCAAAAAACCACTAGCAAACATACCATGAGATTCTCCATTTCATCATTTTGCCCTTTTTAAATAATTAAAATCATTATTTTAAACATCAAGGGTAAAACCATCCCATCAGGATTATTATTTTGTACCATTAAAATTTTGTACGAAATTCAAATATTCAATCATAAACCTATTTGTATATATTATTTTATTTTATTATTTTTTAATGCCTATTGCATATTATTATATATATATTTTATTTTTTATGCATATTGCATGATGTATATTACTTATTATTGAACTCATAAAGATAATTTTGGTATGTAATTTTTTTTTTTTTTTTTTTTCATTCTCATGCTATCCAAATTAATAAAGTAATATTTTTTTAATTACAAATTTTTTTAAAAATAAAAAATCATTCTAACCAAATGACAAATACACAATAAAAGATTAATTTAATTTTTCTTTATTTCACTAGTCCTCCTACCACCAGTAACACTTGCCATTTCACCATTGTACCTTCATGCCATCCCACCCAAATTAACAATTGAACCGTGCAACGCCCCTCATCGCCAACTCTAATACCGTGAATGCACATCATCATGTCATTTGTGTTTACCACATCATCTTTGTTTTTGTGAGTCCTGGGTCTTTTGTTATTAGGTATTTTGTAGTTTATGTTTTGTTGTTCTGTTTCATGTGCCAAAAAAAATAAAATAAAATGCACATCATCATCAAAAAAATAACTGCTGGGAAGCGGGACTCAAGGAAAAAAACCTAAAGGAAAGTACGTGGATAAAAAAAAAAAATTGTTGGGAAGCGGAAATTGTTGGGAAGCGGGACTCAAGTGAGGTCTTTTATGGTAAATTGGAATGATTAGAGCATCTCGAATACACTCTCTAAAATTAGGTTCTCCGATTTTGCCACATTAGTATTTTTCAATAGTCACATAAACATTTTTCATAACTACCTTAGCATTTTAGAGTTTCTAAATTTTGGGTATTGCATGTATTCCAATGGTGCACTTTCGGTCTCCAAAAATATTAATATTTTAATATTTTTAAAATTTAAAATAAAATTTATTTTTTAACTTTTTCCTAACAGCTATAATGTCAATAGAAATATTAAAAAATTTAAAAACACCAATTTTTTAAAACTTTTTTTTGCCTAAAAAAGCCTTTAAGACACTGTTTGTGTCAGCCAAACAGTGTCTTAACGGCTCTTTAGTTCAATTATTTTAAGGGAAAAAAAAGAGAGACCAAAGTAAGCAAAAAATCTGAATTTTAGCTTTTATTTCAGCCAAACATGCCCTTAGGAATAGTGTTCTGACCTGAACTTAAAAAATAAAAGAAAACAAAAATGAGTCCACAAAAAGTGAGCCCAATCCCCAACCCACTCTTGCTTTCTAGCTACTTTCATCAAGAGTCATTATTTGGGGCCCACTTTTTCCATAGTCCATTGGAACATCTAATCTTCAAAAATTGGCCCAGTTTAGTCAAAAAGAGTACTAATGGAGTTGTACTTATGAGTTTTTAACGGTCGTTTTTTTTTTTGGAGAGGATGAAAATTGAAGGGAAAGCTGTATAAGTAGTTTTATTTTTTATTTTTTTTTCCTAACTAAAAATATAAGGTAAGTGCACGAGGGTAATTTATGTCTTTTTTTTTTTCTCAATGGATAAAACAGACCCATTTTTGTGGGGGTGTAATATTAACAAATTCAATAACTATTTTAAGCAGACATTAGATGTGAAATAATGCCTAAAGTCATCTATGGGAACTCTCTCTGTCCTTACTAGATGGGCCCTAGGTAGCAGGCTCTTGTTGTCTCAAGTCCAAAGCTCTCTCCAGCAATAGTATGATGGATCTACTCACATGTAATAGTGGTGTTTTCTGTATTTTTAGTGGGAATAATTTTAAATTTTAAGAGTATATTAACAAAAAAACAGTAGGTATATAATACCAAATAAAATAAAAAAATAAATCAGTGGGACAATTGCCCCACTTATATGTGCTGAATTTTTTTTTTTTTTTATTCATTTAGGCTTCGTTTGGATACATAGGAGATAAAAAAAAAGGAATGATTATAAGAGAAAAGAAAAGAAAAGAAAGGAAAGGAAAGAAAATGATAGTTATAATTTATATTTATGTTTTGATGAATTGGAGAGAAAGGAAAGGAATTGTAACGTAAAGGAGAAAAAAGAAAGGAAAAAATAATAATAAAATTAACAACTTCCCCTTTTTGATACGCTAGTAGGGCAAAATCATTTCAGCCTCTCATCACCTCCATCTCTGATCCTCCCTCCCTCCCTCTCTCTCTCTCTCTCTCCAACTACATATCGGCATATCATTTCACATATGTATATATTATCGTAAAACTCATTGGACTCTCTCCTTTATGTGTTACTACGCTCTGAAACCCTAGATCTCCATCATCTGAAATCGGATGACAGCTCACAGAGATCGCTACGACCAAACAGAATCGAAAGCAAGTTGTTGAATTCAAAGTCTTTGACTTTTCTATATTTACCATATAGTGAATTCAAAGTCAACAGAACTGCGCAACTCTCTCTCTCTCTCTCTGCAACTACATATATATATATATATATATATATATTAGCCTCCCCAATAGCCTCCATCTTCTTCTCAGCCTCCCCCTCTCTCTCTCTGCAAATGTATGTCAAAACCCATATCCGCATATGATTTCAGATTGTTAAAAAAATCAAAACCCATATCAATCAGTTTCTATCACCTGCTATTGCAGTCCGGTAGCCGTTCACAAAGCTTCAGCCGGTTGTCTCTTAACTCTTTTGCCCCTACTGTAATTTGCTCAAGTTCTTTCCAAATCCATCCAAATCTTCTCAAAAGTGGGAGGATTTGATTTCACTGGTAGGAGGGATTTGGAGGGATAGGCTCCCTCCGAATCCTTGCCAATCATTTCTCTTCTTTTTAATTATCTCCATCCAAACACATTACATACTATCCTTTCCTTTATTTTCTCTCCAAATCCCTCTAAATCCTCAATCCAAACGAGGCCTTAATGAAATATTTTAATTTTTTTAACAAAAGTATAACACATTAATTAAGAAATAAATCAACTTGATTCTTTTAAAAAAAGAAAGAGAATTTAAGTTTTCTTATATGTGATGTGAGTGTAAATTTATTGTAAAAAGAAAAAGAAATCAACTTAATATTAACTACTATTCTAAAAATTATTAAATAATTCAGGAAAACAATTTCCAATAGGAACTTTCCAAATAAGAAGAAACACTCCACACTAATAAGATATGACGAAAGTAGCCTAGGTTTTATAAAAAAAAAAAAATTGTGCTCTAACCCATGAATATTTATAATGTTGTACATAAGAATTATCAAAACATGAGGATTAATATTTTTGTATAAAAATTGCACATGAATTACTCACCACATCCATTGGCCATCTAATATGTAACAAGTTTGTATAAGTAGTTAAGGAAATTATTTATAGATCTCATGTTAGAAATAACAGGATATTATAGAATTTAGTAGAACAAAGACAAGAAAAATATAAATGGTTAGAAGAAAAATTACTAAATTATAGAATACTCAGTTATTTCAAACATGAGATCTATAAAAATTAAGGACGAAGTGAGTAGTATTTCTCAAAGAAAAAAAAAAAAAAAAAAAAAAGCACAAGTACCAGACGAAACCGGAAAAAAAAAAATGAAAAAATGAAAAAGAAAAAGAAGAGAGATGGTAAACACAAAGATGGGCTCCTACATCTTGTGATATTGAGTGAAGTGTTGGGCTTGCTCGGCTCACTCGATTCCTCAATTTTGTCTGTTCCTTTGTTTAAGACAAGACATGCAAGCAAACTGTGCATGCTAAGATGGGGAAAAATACTTAGCATTTTTGTAGTCCAAAACTCCAATTTTAATCTTTGTATTAAAATGACTCTATTTTCTAAAGTTTTTTATAAGCTTTAATTTGTAGGAAAGTCCCACAACTAATTGATAACATTTCTGGATAATTCTTTTATTAGTTAAATAAATTACGCACTCATTATCAACTATACACTAAAAGAGGTTCAAACAACGTAAGGCATAAAAGGTGACTTTGAATTATTTGAAACTAGTGGACAAAATAATAATAATAATAATAAATCATAGAAAAATAATCTAATTTTCAAACCATCAAAACTTTCAATTTAAGTGACGGTGTTCACAAAAATATGCACAGAGAAATTATGTTATTTATTATTAACGATTAACTAAAATTCTTATAAAGGTGTCGTTCTAGCGTTATGCCCATACTCTCATTTTCATTTTCACCATGTAACTTAATTTTGTGACTTAAATTATACCCATAGAAAAAGAAAAAGAAAAAAAAAAAAAAAAATCCCTTGACCGAAAGAAACCGTCTAGTAACTATGTATGGGTCGACACTAGACGTAATTTACGGTACGAGCCCTACTTGCTATCTTTCGCCTTAGTAGTAAAATAATCATTTTGTTCCCTAGCTGAAGCTCAACTGCGATGAACCATTCAACAATGGCGATTCAGATCGAGAAATTCCTCATCTTTCTAGTGATATCTGTGTTCTTCGTCTCGTCGTCGACGCTTGCGAACTCCGACGTTCCGTTCATCGTCGCTCACAAGAAGGCCACTCTCACAAGGCTCAAGGCCGGTGTCGAACAGGTCTCCGTCTCCATCGACATCTACAACCAAGGATCTGCGTAAGTACCCTTCAATCCCACCCGTTTCTATCACTTTTACGAGATCTGTGGCTGATGTTCATAGTCCATACATCCAATTCGCTTGCTGCATGCGTTCTCTTACATATATTAAATACACATATACGCCTATATAATCGCGATTGATTGCCATTTTTTTGTTGCACAATCCTTATGAGTGCAGGTTATAAACCTCTACGCATCCTTTGTTTTTCAAGTGATGGATGTTTTATGTTCGTGGCTGTTGGATTAAACATATCATGTGGTTTGTTGGAAAAAATCATGTTTTCCCGACTATTGAGGATCTTATACTTCCATAGCTTTGCAACAAAATTTGACTTTTTGCTCAAGAATGCTAAGTACTTCTAAATTTAAATAAAAATGTACCTAATTTTTACAAATTTTATTTTTACTTGATCTATTACATGCAATATTGTTGTTTTGATTAATAATTTGAGTTCGTTGGGAGTGGTAATATTGTCTTGTTTAATTTGTGTAAAAGTTAGTGGGTCCTATCATTATGTGACTGTATTTAATTAGTTGGTGATACAATTTCATTAATACACCGTGACCAATAAAGTATTTCTGAGGAACAAATGTGCAACGGTTAACTAAGCTTGGGAATTAAATCTTAGTTGGATATCCTGAAATTTTATTTCACTGCTTGCTTCGAACAGCCATAGCTAGGGAACGTGCAGGAATTAGGGAATTTGCTTGGCAATCTTCTGTTTTTGACCTATAAATGTTCCTGTTTTCATATTGGATCCATATATCTTAATTCGACATTGTGATATCTGAGATTTGAGGGTTGGATCAAATAAAGAATTGAGTCTAGGCCGTTACGTTTTTATTTCAAATTGAAACTTCACCTTCTTAATGCTTAGATTGGTCTCAAAAAAGTGACTTATATTTTCTGTAGTTAGTTATTATCTTTTTAGTCAATGCTAGATTAATGCCGTAATTTCAGTGAACTGTAAATTGGATATTTAGATTTGCAACATTAACCATCTCATTCTAGGCCACCCAACTTGGTTTTTGTCTTCCCCGAAGCTAAAACCTTTTGTTGAGTTCTCCCCATAATTTTATGAAGCCCCACTGTATATGCACTTCATTTTTTTTTTGATAAGTAATAATAAATTAAAAAAAGGCGTTCAATAGGGGAACGCATGCCATAGACATAAAAGAAACCGGGAACTAAGGCCCCAAAGAATCCAAAAAAGAAATTAAATCAACAGAAGAGAACAGGAACTTCTGTTCACATAATTGAAGAGAGAACGAATAATAAAAAGTTTCAGTGTCGCTGTAGACGACTCCTTTCCTTCAAACATTCTACTATTTCTCTCTCTCCAAATGCAATATATGCACTTCATTATAAAGTGATGCTGGTGATCCATCAGGATAAAAATTGCTAGAATACCATCGGCATGGAATGGGATTGATTTTGTCGATGTCATCTCATCCTTGCCTTTGTCCCATATGAATGGGGACCATATGAATTCTTTTTTTCCATTTTTGTGATTTTGATGATGTAAATCCTTCTAATATGATGCTTAGAAAATACTCTAAATCCTTTGTTGTACCATCATCTGCTCTTCAAAGGGGTTCCTTTGCAATGCTTTACTTTTAGAATGCGATTAATATGTGACGATGAATAAAGTAGCTGGCCTTTTTTCTCCAGAAGCTTGGTGGTAAAAACTTGTGTGAAGTTGATTTGGTTGAAATTTGAAAGTGGTTGAAAAGGTATGTAGAAGTTGTTTATGGCAACGGGTAATTTTCAGGATTGATAGAATGCATTATTTTGACGGTCGATAGCGGGTTGATTAAATTTTCAGCCGTTCAGCTTTCATTGGGACACCTTTGACTTCACACTACTTGTTTGTAGCCTCTATTCAAGCATAAATCATTTAAAATTTAATAAATCATTAATTTGTAGCATGCAAGGGAAGTCATTGATTGTACCAACAGTCTGCTTGTATCTACATCCCGAGCAGTTGAGACATGTGATGCTTTTACGCCTGAGGTTTTGTCAGGGATAATAGTTAATATGGGTAATAACAAGCTGATTCGGGGTTGACTTAGGTGGCTGCTTCAAAGGCTATTTTGGGCCGTAGAGATGGTCTCTTCTTCCTTCCTACTTATAGCTTTCGTTGGGTTCAAATTTTAAATCGAATCTTAGTTGGGACTCAGGAGTGAAGTTTGAGTCAAAAGGAGGTAGGCTCGCCCTAAGTTATAGTATTATTTCTAGTCTCTTGACGTGATTTATATTTCTTTTTCCTATTACAACCTCATTTGAAACGGGGCTGGAAAAATTGTAGAAGGGTTTCCAATGGGATGACACTACAGATGAACAAGTAACACTTGATAGATCATGGAATAGTTTGCTCCATATCCAAAGAGGGGACTGAAACCTAGAAAGTTGAGGTTGGTAGTGTCAAATTAATTTTCCGTTGCCTATGTAATGACTAATTCTGGATGGACGGAGCTTGGTGATTGACCCCGCCCAGTTTTTTTCTCTCTAAATTATTTTTTCCAATGATCTTTTTCTTTGCTCTAAAAGACAAAATATATTATCAATCAATATTTATCTTATTAGCATCGAAAATTGACCACACTAGAATAAATTATGGGCTCCATCACAGATATGATAGGTTTTATTAGTCTTCTAGAATGCGTCAAGGAGGAGGCAGGCTCACCCTCACTAAGTGTACTATTCTTCAAGGTTGTTAAAATCGGGATTTTACGTTGAATCGTTTTGGGCTCCGTAGAATCGGAATCGTAGAATCGGATCGAGAATTGTAAGATTCTACCAACTAGTAAAAAAAGTAATTCAAACTAACTTCTTGAACACTATAATGTGTAAAATATAGCAAGAATAAGGCCAATAATAATAATAATAATAATTAAAAAAAAAAAAATGTATAAAGGTACCATTCCAAAGTTCAAATATAATATAAAAGAGAATGTAGCTCAAAAGGTAGAGCTCTCATGACAACTATGCAATTTGTAGGTTGTGAAGTTGTGTGTGTGAAGATGAATGTTTGAATTCCAAATCCACAACATAAGTTCACAAATCCCAAATCCTAATCCAAACATCCAACAGCTCCCTTAAAAGAACAGAACACAAATAAAATAGAAAAGGAACTAAACTTACAAAACATAATGTAAAGAAGTAAAGAACAGAACAGAATTTTTTTTTTTGATAAGTGGTAAAGAACAGAACAGAATTAAAGGGTCCATTCTTCATGTTAAAAAAAATAAAAAATTGATCAGAAACAGGAAAAAAATAAAAAATTTGAACAGCAACAGAAAGAAAGAAAGAAAGAAAGAAAGAAAGAAAGAAAGAAAAAAAAAAAAAAGAAGAAGAAGAAGAAGAAGAAGAAGAAAAAAAGGGGATTAGGACTAAATAAGTAAATAGTGTTTTTTTCTTATTTATATGGACTTTTTTTGGGCCCCAAAACTGTGGACCTTTCTTATTTAGAGAACCCAATGCTTTAGAAAGTGAACCAGGCCAAAAAAAAAAATGGCCCAAACAAAAAATATGTCAGAATCTTGTAGAATCTTACGAGTTTACTACGATTCTGCACAGGGAATGATTTCTATACGAATTGACTCATTTTGGGTTGGTAGGATCGTAGAATCGTGCGATTCTACGATCCTGGATCGCGATTTTGACAACCATGCTATTCTTGTCTCTTGATATGATTTATATTTTTTTCCTCCAATATCGACCTCAGTTGAGAAAAGGTGCAGAGGTGTGAGGCTCTGGAGGCTCTTTTGGTTTGTTATTTGCTTCCACTATGGAAGATGGATCAAGTGAATCCATGATGTTAATTGCTTCCTTAGTGGCGAATTCAAGTTATGGTCTCCATATATGGTTTTGAGGGGAAAGGATTCTTCTGGCCATTTGGTGAACCAATGCCCCTCTAGTGCATGTGTGTGTGTAGTCTTCTTTCATTATTATACAGTGGAGTGTTGTAGTCTTCTTTCATTCTCTGGCACTTTTGGCCAACATATTTTTGTCACGAAGAGTGGAATTAGCAGGGTTAGAAATACTTGGCAAGTCACGTTGTTGTGTTGATGCTGAACTATATAAAAGGAACACAATGGGTGGTGCTCTGAAGAGGTAGAAATGTATTTTTGTATGTGTGTCTATTTGTGTGATATGAGTTTAAACTTCTCTTTTGTTTTTGCTCTCTTTTCATACACTGTGATTTGTGCGTACATGGTTTGTGCCTCCCTGCAGCTCTTTAGTAATATGGTTTTTAGGGAAAAATAACATGCTTTTAATAGTATGGTGCATGGTTATCAAAATCGCGATTCTGGATCGTAGAATTGCACGATTCTACTATCCTACCAACCCAAAACGAGTCAAATCGTATAAAAATCGTTCCCTACGTAGAATCACAGTACACGATTCTACAAGATTCTGACATATTCTTTGTTTGGGCTTTTTTTTGGGGCCTGATTCACTTTCGTAATGTTGGGCTCTCTAAATAAGAAAGGCCCACAGTCTTGTGGCCCAAAAAAAAGGTCCATAGAAATAAGATAAAAAAACTATTGACTCAACTCAAAGATGCATTTTTTTTTTTTTGGTATTTGATTAATTTGTTGATTAGTTGAAACTTGATATTATGATTTATGTGAGATTGTTTTTTTTCACTTTCAAGATTCAGATTTTTTTCTTTTTGTATTTGATTAATTCATTAATTGATTTGATGATTTCTTAGATTAGTTGAAAGCTTGAAACTTGATATTATGTCATTATCAGATTGTGTTTTTTTTTTTTTTTTGCCCCCTTTCAAGAGAAAGTTCTGGCAGATTGTTTTGTAACTTTTGTTTTGGTTTTTTGGGTATTTGATTAATTGCTTTGTTATTTGAATTTTGGAAAACTACTGATTTCTCAAGAGAACACTGCATTCTGCAACTGTTTTTCAAAAATGTTTTCTTGAAACAGAAACAGTAGCTCCAAGCCTCCAACCGCTTGAATCTGTACTATGTTTGATTAAATGGCATCTTATTTGTGTTTCATTTTTATTATTATGTAAGTTTCTTTTAGAAATTTAGGTAATAATTAAGAAATGTGAGAGAATGCAAGGATTTGAACCTTGACCTCCTCTCGTCACACACAACTTCACAACTTGTAAATTGCATAGTTGGCATGAAAAAGAATGCAAGGATTCAAACCTTCATCTTCTCACACACAAATTACAAATTGCATAGTTGTCATGAGAGTTCTACCTTTTGAGATACGTTCTCTTTTATAATACATTTGGACTTTGGAGTGGTGCTTTTATACATTTTGTTTGTGTTTTGGACTTATTCTTACCATATTTTTCATGTATTATTGTTTAAGAAGTTAGTTTGAATTGTTTTTCTTACTAGTTGGTAGAATTTTACGATTCTTGATCTGATTCTACCATTCTGATTCTACATAGAATCCCGATTTTAACAACCTTGGTATGGTGATGCTTACTCCATTGATTATCTATCTGATGAAGGTTTTAGTGAATATATTTTTTCTCCATTTGACATTTGCTCGACAAACAATTATTTCTTAACCGTTTTAACTTGTGGATTATTGGAAAAACGTGTACATGTATTACAATTGATGGTTGTTGATATTTGCTCTTGTTATTGTTAGGTTCTCAGTTCTTTTTGGCTACAATGATGATTTTCTGGTATAATTTTTCATATTCTTTATTGAATTATGTGTTTGACCAAGTTTATATTTTCTATAACTTGTTTTCAGAACTGCGTATGATGTTAGTCTCACTGACAATAGCTGGTCTGAAGATATCTTTGATATAGTCACTGGTAACACTTCAATGTCATGGGAAAGGCTTGACGCGTGAGTTCCGCTTTCCATTGACGTCAATCAACAATGATTTCTTTAAATCGAAGTCTTCTTCCTCTTTATTGAACTAATATCTTTACCATGTAAACTTTTATAATCGGCAGTGATTCTCTTCTATCACACTCTTTTGTACTGGAGGCCAAAGTAAAAGAGGTGTTTTATGGTGCACCAGCAGTTATCACATTCCGTGTCCCTACAAAAGCTGCTCTACAGGTTTGGTGTTCTCGGCAGCTTCGTGTGTGGTTTTCACACACACGCACAAGTTTATGGACCCTGATTAGATATAAGTTTGTTTTTACATAAATGTATTTGTTTAGCATGAAAATAATACGATCCAAATCTCGTGCCATTTGTAGGAGGCATACTCGACTCCGATTCTACCTTTAGATATCCTTGCAGATAGGCCTCCGGAGAAGAAGTTTGACTGGGTAAGTCTTTCACAAGTAATAATGTAAATCAATTTCATGCAGGACTTGTTAGCCACTGCTGTTCACTAAGAAGCTTTCTTGTGTTTTTTCATGGAATCACTTTGGTGGCCTCCAAAATTTATCAGGCTAAGGTACAAGTTATTCTTTATGGCTTCACACGTTATTAAATTATTTGGTTTCGGGAATGCATGATTATTATTATTTTTAAATGGAAAGTGGCAAACATGACAATTATTAGTGGACTTGGATGTGAGTGACAGGTTCACTAAGAATGCCGTACCAATGATTCTCTGCCTTCAACTTCTGGCAGGGCTTTGGTCTTTTTTCTTCAAGGGCAATAAGATTGGTTGTGAAATTATAATAATTTGGAAATTTTATATTTGCTTATTGGTGTTGTAAGTGGCAACAGTTAAATGTTTCCTGATGAACTTCCTTCTCAGTTTGTTTGTCCTGCAAGTGATGGTAGTGCTTTAATTTTTTTAATGGATTAGATGACTTTTTTTTTTCTGGTAAATAATGGCCAAACCACTGACTCAATGTTTCTCTTTTGGCAGAGGTTGTTGGCCAAGTACGGGTCGTTGATTTCTGTGATCTCCATTGTGGTTTTGTTTGTGTATTTGGTTGCAACCCCATCAAAATCTAGTGGGAGCAAAAAGAAGCGCTAATCATCATAGAACGAAACAAATGCAGCACCTTCCGATATCTGGTTTGCAACTGAATTCCCTGAGGCAATGGTTCTCTCAGTCCCCTCCCTGTGATGCTAGTCAAAATGATCTTCTGCATCTCCATTCAATTTGGGAAGTCTCATAGTTGTTGTGAATTTCTAATTAGATGTTGGTTAGAGATGTAATTTGGGCAGACTCGTTAGTCTGCCTGATTCATCTTTGAACAGGAGTTTTGTCTTAATTGTTTTCCTTGTTTTGTGTAATAGAAATGAGGGCTTATGGACTCGGGAATTATGGGAGTGGTAACTCTGGTGCAAGATTATAGGAGTGATACTGGTTAACAATGAATAAGTTGGGTATAGGAGTACTACCTTCATGTTCTTGCTGTTTTTTATGGGTAATTCAATTCAACCCTCAAGAGTCCTGGTAGACTTTTGTGTTTTTTTTTGAAACATAGAAAAAAAGAAAAAGAAAAAGAAAAAAGGCACTTATATCTTCATAGTGTGTTCTTTGGATGTGCTATTCTTAGATGTACAGCCCTTGTTTTGAGGTCACGTGTTCAAAACAAGAAACAACATCTGTGCATGCCCCCAGACCCTTGGGAGTTGGGTTTGCCCTCTTTCTTGGAGTTTTGACATTTTAGATGTGAGATACTGAGACCTGATCACTGAAGTTGGGATTCCGTATGAGCATCGAGTTGAAACAGCCCAAGAATCCATGCTTCAAAATACATGCATTTATTTGTTAAGATGGAAGGTGTTGAGGTAGTAATGAAAGAAATCCTAGTTGGACAGAGATAGAGTGACCTATTTAGCCATATATGTATATAACTATATATTATAAGTAGCTTTCGTGTATCCTGTGGTGGTCATATATTATATTGTTGCCATTTTTGGTGGGAGGATGTTAAAAAACTAAAATTCACATCAATTTCCCCATTTTTAACAAGTCCTCTTGACTTTTGATCGTTGCTATTGGCATAAGATTATTGTTTCATTGAAATTTTTAACTATAGTGCTTCATTCTGAGAAATTTAATTAATAGGATGAAATAGAAATTATAGAACAAATTTAAATATTATTTTGTAAGGTAAGAAATATCGGCATAAATAAGGAAACATGAGAAACAGCCTTGTTCAAAACAAGTTACAGATACAGACCAATAAAGTAATAACAACTGCATAAATAAGGAAAAAATAAGAAACAAACAATCAACTAGTCTCAGGCCAAAGAAAGTTTGAAATGGGGAACAAAAAAATCAAGATGATTGATTGGGTGGTACTGGTACTGCTATTCCATAAGCCACAAAATTGGAGATACTGTCGGTGAGATGGCGAGAAGCTTTCTCGTAATTGACAAAACCCATGAACCAGAAATCGTGTCCGTCAATAGTGACAATCTGGATATATCTTTCCGACTGGTTATCTCTAATAACTATAGGATTGATGGTGCCAATCTTGGCCAAAGGTACCATAATCTGTTCCAGGTAACAAAATATATGTCAAGTGTTTGAATCTCTCTCTCTTTATATATATATATATTGATGAATATAGTTTAATGGTAGTACCTTGTAATAGCTCCAACTATGCTGGCCAGAGGGTGCGGTGAATGATAAAGGGCGGTCGCTGCAGAAAGCAACATGGGCATTTGACAAAAAGAGAGTTCCGGCAACTGGTCCGGTGGATGTGGATAGATAACAGGCAAACGTCTTCTTAAGCTTCTCGTCGGGAAAAGTTGCGAATGTTTGTTTGTATAACGACTCAAACCCACCACCTGTTATTGCTTTGGCAGTCAAGTTCACCTTAGCCCACGCAGCTCCCGATACAGATGACCCCGTTTTCACTGATATACATACATACATACATATATTTATTATAGGGGGCGGCGGCCAGGATGTTAATTAAAAATTAAAATTATATACTTACGGTTGTGCCAGATATTATTGGCTGTGGACTCGGCCTTGGTGCTCCATGAGTTGAACTTATGAAGAACAGATTCCATTGGGGTGGTGGCTGGCTTCTCAATGGGGGTATAGTGGAGGTACTGTTGGTGATAATCAGGTGCCCCCCATAACGCAGCCTTCTGGTTGTTTGGGTGACATGTGGGCACGGCAGGTGCACCCATTATGTGAGTCCCCCATTTTTCATCATCACCACCACCACTACCACCAGCTGGTTGAAATTGTTGAGGTGGAGGAGGAGGTTGGATGATTTCTACTTGGTTCACGTTATTGGGATACAACACCGACACGGACGACGACGATGATGATGGTTGATCTGCTGGGATTATTGTTTCTTTAGCAGTGGGAGTGGGTGAGGTGGGGTGATGAGGTTGTGATTCTTGGTGGTTGCCGTTCATGATGGTATGAATATTGGAGGGGGCTGGGATTCAAGATTGAAATCAAACTGTTGCTTTTGGTAATCGCGAGCTGTGGAGATCCAGTTGTTTGATACAATATAAATAGAGAGAGAGAGAGAGAGAGTAATATTGCAGCTCAGGTTTTACATGAGAGGTTATATATATATAAATATATTATATACTAAATAGATTGGAGTTGAATGGACCAAGCTTCGTGTGTAGTGGAGTCTTTCTAGATGATGGGATTTCAATATTGTTCATTATTGTGGGGGAAGACTATGGAAGCCATATGAGAACCATTTTTTTGACTTTTGAATCCGATGGGGCCACAAAAACGCTTGCTTAACCGTGTTTTTCAAAAGCCTCATTTTCTAAATTATGCTTTTATTAATTATTGGCTTGCCTTACCCTCTTCCTCCACACCCATGTAATGATGTAAACATGTGTTTTAACATTACTCGACGGTACGGACTGGTTATATTAGTTTTTCATAATTCTCTGGGCTCTTTTGATCCATTTAAATATTTAACTTATAAAAAGTTCGTTCACTGGAGGCACAAAAGCTAAGCCAAAGTAACAATACAGAGGCATAAATTAAGCCAGATAAAAGCATACAAATCTTAAAGCAAAACAAGAAAAATAAAGAACATGTTCCAAATTTGTTGAGAAAAAGTTATCGTTTTAGAACGAAAATCACCAAGGGAGAAGAGCAACAACTGGAGTGACTAAAAGTCAAGCCTTCATCAAGGCAACATTTCCAAAGCTGCATCCACAAGGCGCCTCCACACACCCAACCCCACACAAGATCAAATCAAGCCGGAGGAAACAAAAATCAATCTAGATCATAGATCTAGTCGAAGGGAAAACAACAGATCCACCCTGTCGAGCCGGAAACAAACCAAATAAGAGCAGATCAAGCCACACAAAAACAAAAAAACGACATGAAAATTACCCACATGACGAACTTATTGAGACACGCCAATGTTATTAACCTGTGAGAGGCAAGCAAGGACACCTCCCCACTCCCATGGAAGGGAGAAGGGAGCAGGGAGCAAAATGGAACGTGACGAGCGGCTGAGAGAGAGAGAGAAAGGGTAGAGAGAGAACAGAGGACAAGTAGAGGCGGGTGGCTAGGTATCTCGTCTGTATTGAACGAAGGAAGTTTATTCACATTTTTATTTATAAATTATTTTATTTTATGGAGGTGAAAATGAGGATATAATTGTAACTTCGCATCACTTTCTCAAGAGGCTTTCTTGTGTATTTTTGTAAAACAAATTTATAGGTTAATTATATTGTCATGAAAAGTTTAAACTTGCTTGGTTTGTAACTCTAAAAACAGTTCTTAAAAATCCAAATAACAGAAAATTGTTCTCAGAGAACAGTCTTTTATAGTTTTCTTAAAATAGACATTTTTATAACCAAGTTTTTATAAAATAATTTTCTAAAAACTGAACCAAACAAAAATTTTTATACAATTTTTTATATTACTTTCCCACCAATTTTTCCTTTTCTTGCTATTCAAACAGTTAAAACACCAATTTTTCCTTTTCCTGCTATTCAAACAGTTAAAAGTAAATCTATGTTTTTACTGTATTTCTTTTCCTTTCTTGTCATTTCCATCTCACCAAACTATTACTGAAAAGTATCGGACTGGATTCTCTTGTTTTTTTTTGTTTTTTTTTATCGTCTCTTGGGTTTGCTATGTCTTATCTTATTATTTGAGGGATATTCATAGGATTATAGAGTGGGCTAGTTGAGTTATGTTTAACTGGACCTGAGTGTCATATTGGGCCTCAAATTCTTTTTGCTGGTTTGTTCCCAGTCCATTTCTTATCTGACAAAGTCCAATCAATTATTTAGACCGTTACAAGTTCACTGGGTTCTGATAATTTTTGGTTTGTTGAGCTCCAACTGGTCTCTCTTGCTTTCCTCGAGCTCCATTGAATTTTCCCCTCGTTTTTAAAGTCAGACTAGTAGAGCTACTTCTACTCTACACTAATATTATTGATAATTACTAGCATCTTCCCCGGATGCTCTCTAGTCTTGTGATATCATGGTAATTTCTCTATGATTTTCTCTAGTCTCGTGATATCATGGTAATTTCTCTATGATTTTCTTAGCAACCAAACTCTGCCTTGGACTATTATTACTCGTGAGCCTTCAGACTTTAAAATGAAAATTTATCTATATAGTTCAATCTCTTATGGAGCCACCAGCAAACCAATCAACAAATTCCAAATCTACAACTTTATGCATAGGGTTTGCCAATGCTAATATTGTTAATACAAACCTCGATATTAATACTAGAAAGGATTACAGAGTAGAAAATACCTCATAGATAAATCAATAATAATATAACCCTGATTCCTCATCAAACTAAAAATATTAATCCATACATTGATTCATCTGGAACTACTTGATAACAAGAAATAGCTGGTAGAGTCACAACACACGTACCGTAGCGCAGCCAGGATGCTTCTACAACGTCCACACAAAATCCGGTGCATCTCTTCTGGGCCCAACCAACGTTCGATATAGGAACATCTTCTCTACCTTCTCTCTCTCATCAGCGCTAGCCACTGTCTGCTCAATTTCGTTTATTATCTCCACATTGAGCCTGGGCATCTTCTTTGCCAGCGTCTTGCAGCCTCCAAGGGTAACTTCACAGGACGACATCCAAAGGGATCGCATTGTCTCATACTTTCCCACGTCCGTTAGAAGTGCTACATTACCAAATGGGCTGTCCCTGATCTCTAGCTTTTTAAGCTTCTTGCACCCATTCAACACGTAAAGCATTCCCTTGTCGCTATTACCAGCAAATGCAATTGAAAGCATTTCAAGTTGTTCAGCATACATTCCGATGTAAAGGAAAACCTGGTCAGTTAAAAGACCAGAGAGTGACAACCGCCTCAGACCCTTGCATGACTGAACAATTGCCCCAAAACCTTCATCAAGTGGCTGCATTGTCACAGGGTCTGGTTTAATGGGGTCAAGGATGCATAATCTGAAGCGGGTAAAATTGGGACAATTCTTGGCTACAGCTATGAGGGCAGCATTAGTCATCTGCTGGCAGAAGTACAGCAACGAATGAAGCTTGGGGCAACCAGCAGATATAGCAACCAAGCCATCTTCGGTTACAGCAGCATGCCCAACCCCATGTAGATCAGACGGAAAAACCCTCAATTCCTGCAGTTCTTTACAAGCTGAAGCCACAACATGGAGACCTTTATCCCCGATACAATCCAATATCTGTAGAAATAATGTCATGCGGTCATTCACCTCTACATAATGAAAATAAAAAGTCAGACAGAATTTAGTAATAGAGTGGGTTAAAAAATCAAACCCATAAGCGCTGAAGTTTCCTGCAGTGACGAATTAGCTTTATAAGCTCGGTTCCATGAATCCCTGGAGCATAGCTCAAGTTCATTGAAGTCAGATTCAAGCAAATCGAATAAATAGCAGGCAAGCAGCGAGGAGCCACATCCAGAAATCCAGATAAGCTCCTAATTGAAGTACACTTCTGGATGGCATTCTTCAATTTTTGGTATGTCTCTGAATCTGGATCATGGACATAAGACCCTGTACCCAAGTCTACCAATTGAGGTGCTTGCACCAGAATCTTTTGAAGAGTGTCAAGTGGCACTGCATGGTTTAACCTTAGACTTTTAAGGTTACGACATCTTGTCACTAGCCTCTCAAGGGCTGTCAAATTGACTTCTCCTTTGAGGCATGCAAAATTCAAGGAGACGAGAGATGTACAATTATCAGGAAAGCAGCTGAGCCACTGGCCTCTATGGTCGTCAACTTCATTTTCTTGCAAATCTAGCTCCCTAAGAAACCTAGACAAGATGGGGAGAAAGAACAGTGCAAAGTTAAATCACATATGACTTCAGCTAAAGCAAATTGCATCCAACTAGCATGATACAAATAGTTTCTGCCCCTCTATCATCATTATTATCATTAACAGCTGTTATCATTAATTTTCATCTTCCTTTTTCTTTATTGGTTCCCAACCATAATCCATCTGCTTGCAGGAGAAAAATGTATTTAACGAGTAGTGAACCAGTCATCTTGACATTCCAAACCCCCAAAATCAAAACAACCATCCAGGTAGTTAACCATTGTTAATAGTGTGCTCAGCAAAAGTTCAAATCTAGAGAGACAAGAAGTCGATGCAGTTTATGCAGCAAACTGTGCAGGCAACGCCAAATGCTTTGGAGAAAAATTACAGTATCTACAGCATTCAATTAGCCGTTTAAATATGCAATGACAGTTTATAATACAAATAGATAGCTCAAAGAGAGAGGTATAGGAAAATAATTTGCCAGTCATGGGAAATATATAAAAACTAAGCAGCTTTAGTCCACAAGAGAAAATAGCAAATAGAAACTACAGAAAATAAAGCTAGAGAACATACACACACATATTTACTGTAAAATAATATTCCATCAGTTTGCAAGCAAAAAAAACAAAAAAAAACATACATAGTCAAAAGATCAGGCAAAACAGATAGTGAAATTAATTCAACTATCTGCTAGCAGGTGATATCAGCTATTATCTGTCAAAAAAGTTCCCAAAATCATTTAAAGATTTGCATCAATAATCACGTTTCTTAGTTGAGTTCAGCCAACCTTTCTAAGGAGAATTGGAAGGAAAATAATAAGCTAAACAAACCAAATTGAATTAATGAAACCATTAGATAAGTATAAGCTTGCCGAAAAAAGATGCTATTATCACTACCACGAACAAACAAAGAGTCCAACAACCCATCAGTAACTATCCGACCAACATGGAGCTCATAAGTACCACAATCACAGATGACGCAAAACTTACATGTCCAGATTTGTCAGTCAAATCCAAAATAAATAAAGAATTGTGTGTATATATATATAAACGTATCCCCATGAAAAGAAGCGATGTATACCTGCAGTTGGAGGCTATGGCAGCAAGGCCCTGGGTGGTGAAGCCTTCACAGCTAACCAAAACCAGAGACTTGAAATTTAGGAAGGATCGAGAAAGCAGCTCAAGGCTTTCATCGGAGACCACCATCCTCTTCAACCTAAGCTCCTCCAAATTGATACCCCTCTTTGCCATGGCCTCAATCCAAGGGCAAACAAACCCACCCCAATCATGAGGTACCAAATTGAAATCAGCAAAATGGGGCTTTCCTTTGAGCGTAAGGGACCTAACCCTAGGAAACCTGGCAATGAACCTCTCCGGACTGATTGCGTAACAATTCCCTATGAATACCTTTTCCCTGCTAAACCTCTCCACCATATACCAGGATCTGCATACTAAAGACACCGCATTCCGGTCTCGGTGAGACGTTAAGAAATCGAATACATGCTCTAAAACCTCCTCAGGAAAGTAATTCATCCTTCTTCAGAAACAAATAAGAATGAATAGTGCATACACATGCAATACCAGAGAGAGGACAATCGAACCTAAAAATCTCAGCTTTTAGAGATGAAAGAAGATGGAGTAACTACTACTAGTCTCTACTCAACAAGTCCACACCAAACAAATCCAAAAACTGCTTACATATATAACCCAACCCTCGAAACTCCCACAAGTCAACGATGATCAACTACGATTGACAAGCTATACTTGCTGGAGAAGACTTTAAATCTCGAGAGAGAGAGGGAAAAAAAATTAATGATACAAGTAGATCTCGTAACCGAACCTGATAGACAGACTTGAAGCTCCGTGAAAGAGATTGGATCTCAAGATCTGCAGAAAATGAGCTTAAAATACAGAGGAAAAAAAAAAATCTCACGTCTCTTGGTGTGTTTCAGATTAGATCTGAAAGAGGAAAGAGAGAAAAAAAAAAAAAAAATTAGAAATTTGAATTTATTTTAAATAAGAAAAAACGAAAGATGTTATTGTAAGAAAATGAGTTTGAATGGGTTATATAACATCTTGGAATCAAAAAGTGATGATTACAGAAAGGAAAAAAATAAACAGATTGAAATTCGTGGATCTGAGTATCCAAATTTCCATTTATAGAGTAAGTAGTAGTAGTAAATAGAAAAGGGAAACGAACTCTGGACTGAAGTGATGATGAAAATAGATAAGATAGATAGAGAAGAAGAAGCAATCCCTCCCGCCTCTCTCTCTCTCTTTCTTTTCTCTTCTGTATAGTAACCAAGGAAGGAAGGAGGAGGAGGGAGTATAGTATTTCTATTTTCACACTAGCAAATCTCTCTCTCAGATTAACCTAGGATGATAGGAACACAGGAGAAATATGGTTAACTATGGTTGAAATATCAATTTCGGGTTGCTTAACCGTGGTTAGTTCCAATCCGACGGTTATTATGGTGTTGATGGAAAAAGATAAGGGAATCTTGACCGTTGAGTAGTGCAACATGCATGTGTCTTTATCTCTGATTTCGATGAGTAAGAGCCTCCTGCCAAAGTCTTACACTCCTCTCTTTTGTATCTAGAGAGAGAAAGAGATTGACATTGGGTTTGGATTGAATTACGGAAAATGCCAATAATGTTGATAAGATCGTTATAATTTGTACTCGATGGTGCAGTGCGTACTCGCGGCCTGAGCTCAGACCATCCCATGTGGGGGCACCTTAGTGCCTCAGTCAAACAGATAAGCAATATAAAACGCGAGTACAAGCCTTTTTAGTCTTCTCAATTTATTTTTAACAAACTTTTCTTTTTTAATAAAAAAAAAGATAATTATTTTATGGTGTCAGCAAAATTTTCTCTTTTCTTTTAAGTAATAGTCCGTAGTATTTTTATCACTGCCCTTAATCATGATGGCATTTTTTTAATGATTAGGAAATTTCCGTCGTGAGAAAGAAAGAAGACGATTTTGACAAAATCTAAGACTGTTTAAATGGCGCCATGGAATGGAATCAAAAGTTTTTAATAAGTTGGAGAAGAAGTCGGAGCAGTAGTAATTGTTATTTCCTTATGCAAATGTTAGTTTAATTAGGGTTGCAAAACAGTCGAACTGAGCTGTTTGCAAATAGTTCGGGTTCGATTCGTTAATTATTCGATTTGTTAATAAGTAAATCGAGTTCGAGTCGAATTATGAAGCTCGATTTATAAACAAGTCGAGTCTAAACATCAGTATACTCGACTCGTTTGTTCACGAACTAGGTTCGATAATGCGTTCACGAACATACTCGATTACAATATATATATATATATATATATATATATATATATATATATACATACCCAATTATAATATATATACAAAAGTTGGGGTTAGATTGTAATTGTATGTAACACGTTTATATGTAGATATATATTTATGTTGGGGTCATTTTGTAATTGTATATAGAGTTTGTGGTTATTATGCAAATACACATTTTTTGTCTTCGTATATAAACCCTTTTTTGTTTAGGGTTAACAGAATTTTCGCCTGCAGCGCCTCCATCTCAATCTGTTCTATCTCTCTCGTCATTGACCACCTACTATCTATGTCTACAGCAGATCATCACACAAGGAGAAGGAGTCCATCTATTAGATCAAAGAACTTTGAAGGTGAAAAGCTAAACCTGACCTAATCCCCAAACATCAATGAAGAATGGTCGCCGGGATCTCACTCTCTCATCTACCCTCTCTTCTACCTCCGGCATCCCTTCCATCTACCACCGGTGGCTTCACCGCCTTCATCTATCACCACTCAACCCTCCTCTCTCATCTTCTCTCTTTCCTTATATATATATATATATATATATATATATATATATATAGCAACCTCCACCGGTGCTACCATCGGCCCTCTCTTTTCCAGCCGTTCTATCTCTCGCCGTCTGCTCCCTCTCTCGCAGTCTCTGTCTTTTTCTGTGACCAAGGCGATTTCTAGCCGGTCATCATCTTTGTGCCGATTTCTGGCACTGAGAGTTCTTGCCCACGAGTTATCGAGCTCCGGCTCAAAACTCATCAAACATACCTCGAGCCGAGCTCGAACAGCCTATTATCTGACCGAGCCGAGCTCGAGCACACCATTACTCGGCTCGACTAGGCTCGTTTACAGCCCTAAGTATAACTGATACCATGGTGGAAGTTACCTAACCTTCTCCTGTTGGAGTTATGTATTTTAAATTAATTAGTTATTAATTTACTAAAACTCCAACAAATGTCTTAATGAAGTTTTAGTAAATTATAAATAAAGTTTTCTTCATCTGTTGGTGGTTATCGTGGGTACCAACGTTTAAAGATGCACTAAGAGTGTGAGTGTGCAATGTGGCCAAGTTTTAAATTTATAAAAGCCACTACTACCTCTAACTAAAAATATAGCTAGGTTGAGTAAGGATCGTCCCAATGGATGGTGGGCGTGTTTGCAATGGAAACAATACATATGGTTAGTATGTCGAATGATCAAAAGGTGGGTTGTTTAGTTAATTAAACTATAATGCAATTGAAATTAAAGCCAGTAAAAGGTAACAATTTAGAATATAGGGAAAAAGATATAGAGGAGAGGACTTGGGGTACTAGAACTCACCACTTAGTTTGACTTCACTTGACACGAGCAATTGTATATCAATTGGGGAAATTGAATTGTAACTTTTGTGTGTATGTGTGTGTGTGACATTAATTGAAACTAGGCATGGATGGCAAATAAACATAGATTATCTAGCCAATTCAAATAGAAAGCACAACCTATCAAATGAGACCAAAATCCATTCAATGAAATCACAATTTATGCACACACAACTATCTAGAAACATACACCATTTGCATTCATAAGTATGGAACACCAAGGAACAAGAATAGATTATCCACCTATCTATGAATCTAAAATAACTATACTACAACTACACTAAAGACATGGAAATTAAACTAAGTGAGCTAAAGGTGTAGCACAATCCATCAAGAAACAAGTGTGAACCATCAAATAAATTACAAGAGTATTCAATTAAGCATTATGTTTTGACTATCTCTAGATTAACTTCATCCATGCACATAGACATGCATAAACTCCACTAAATCTAGAGAAAAACACATGAATCATCCATTCTAGCATACATAGACATATGGTTAGAAGTAGATAATCAATTGAAAGCATTAATCCATACACATCAAGTAAAAATTACAAGATATATATATAAATCCAAGATCAAAACATTTATTACAAGCAAATCCCCAAAAATATACAAAGCACTAAGTCGAGGAAGCAAACTTATGGGCTACTCTAGCCCCAACTAGATGTCTAGCCACTCATTGAAGTAGTCATCTAACCCTCAAGGGCTATCTCCATGGTATGAATAACCTCCTTTTTGATGAAAACCCTAAAAGAATGGAAGAACTCCCAAAGATGTGTAAAAGCTCTCTAGTCTCTAGCCTCTAGCCTCCTCTCCAAGATATGAGATATGATATGTGTATTGAAGTTATGAAGATCCTTTGATATGAATGGCTCAAAATCTTTATATAGGAGGCTCAAGTGTCACACCCAATGGTCTAGATTCATGCACTAGGGTCCTTGCAACGATTACACCATGAGCCAACTTTTAATGAGCTGGAATTTATTTTATTTCGGACTTGAAGAGGTTCGATCGATCGAACTGTGTTGAGATCGATCAAACTGAGGTGAGATCCTTGGCGGCGCCTTTTTGAATAAAGACAAATCTCTGAGATATTTTGGGATATTTTAGGAAAGAGACAAGAGTGGTAGGTGTGGATAAAATCAAATAATTTCGATCGATCTGAGAAATGTTGGATCGATCGAAGATGGTAAGATCTTTTGGATAAGGACAATTGCTTGGATCCATCTTGATATGTCTAGATCGATATTGCTCTGATCGATCGAAGGAATGTTGAGATTGACCGAACTTGCTGCTTTTCCACACTTTGCTTCCACTTTGCTCCTTCTTCCATTCAGCTTGAGACTGCTTCTTTTAAGCTCTTATTTGGCCGAATTAACTTATTTTTGGGATAAGCACCTGAAAAAGGCAATAATATGAAATTAGTCTAAAACGGAAAAGTAAGATAGATAAGGGTCCTATAATACTCGAGTTTAAGGGGTTTAAATGCGCACTTTTCAGCGCTCATCATCTGTATTAACTTATATGTTATTTATGAAAAATTAAATATTTTCATTAATATTAAGTTAATTACATCCCCACTTCTACTAGTATAAATAGTAGGTTTATGAATCCTATAATGTACACACTCTCAATACAAGTAAAAGAGAGAAAGAGATTTGAAAAAGTATTTTCAAATTATTGAGTTTGAGTGCGTGAGTTTTATATTTTCTGTTGATCGGGCGGAGATAAATAAACAGGTTTATGGAAAAAAAAAGTGCAACCTTCATGAACATACAGATTTGAATATCTGGGCTTAGTTGAATCCCGGAGATAATGCTGCCATTTGTCTTCCGTTGCACGTGGACAATGGGAGGGGCTTCAACTATCTTCAAGAAGTGATTACGCGCTTCTAAGCCTCGATACTCACTGTTTTTAAATATATCGGTTCCAACAATTTGAAGATATTTTTCTCTCCAATGGACTCATTTTCATTGTTGTCCAACATTTATTAATTATTCGGTATCTCAACCGAATATCGGGGCTTTCCAACGGTGGAAAGAAAAATTTTATTTTTCCTTTGACAATTGAAAATCATTTTTGTCATGACTAAGCCATGTCCAGCTGCTCTGAGTGACAAAACATCATCTGATCAAGTTTAATTTTATCAATAAGAAGATCATAAGGTGGATTGAATTGGCATCTCATCCTACTAAAGGTGACCAGAATTATTCCATGCCTAGTGGGGGAATCGTGTAACCCAATATCCTATGTTGGTGGGCACAAGGGCAATTGAATGAAATTGCACTTCTGATGTGGCTTCAAGGTTATATTTGAATCTGGTTTGTTCCTTGAAATAATCTTTTCATTAAAGGCATGTCTAAATTGCTGAATCTTTTTATCAAATGATTGATCGAAAGGATATGGTAAAACATATATAGATCAATGCATTATAAGTAGCATATGAAATTTAGTGGTCAGTACCTTAGAATGATCTCCATCAATCACATTATTGATGCTCATTTTGAATATACTTATGTTTATTACTTGAAAGCTGGAAGATCTAGTAGGTCACTTTCCGCCTGATTAGATCATATTCTATGATGAATGAGAAAATCACAAAAGAAGTTTATTATCTTTCGGGACGCGTGCCATCGGTTGATTGAAACTAGATCATCTCTCTACATTTCAGCCAGTCAAAATCATGTAAGATCATGACTAATGGAGGGA